TCATGAAGGTATAATGTCCCCGAATGGATTGGCTAGTACGATTTCCCATTTGGAGCGGCGACGTCAGAACCGCTACTATCATTTACTGTCAATTTTTGCGTGCGCAGTGAAGCGAAATCACGAGCAGAGTGCTACATAACTTCCTCCTTCACTGCCATCTCTTGCGGGCTACGTCCTTATAAGTAAAGTTCTCTCTCATGGATCTCTAACTGACACTTGACTGAAAGTAACCAATTTGTATGGATCTTTGTGTGAGATCGCCATGCGGCAAGTTGAAGTGAAAAAGTAATGAGAATGGACCATTCGGTGAAGTTCTGCAAGCGTCTTAAAGTCTGCAGTGCCCAAGGACAGCGTGAGAGCTTAGACGACGCAAAATGCTACTTTTATTACAGAACAAGATTAGTCAGATACTAGGTCGTCGCCTGACACGGTCTGAAAATGATGATGAAATGGGGAGTTTGCTTCTAGAGGTAAAGTCCCAGTTTGCGGCTGACGGTGACCATTTTGACGTTAGCGACAATGCTTCAACCGTGCGAAAACTAATCGGAAAAACATACGGTAACACAGTCCAGGTCAAGCAAGATCCTTTTCACGTTATTACTCGTTTCAGCGAAAAAGTGAAATCGAAACCTGCTCGTAAGTTCTTGTGCAAGCAGCTCAAGGAAGTTATGTATGATGTAAACTAGGAGCTCAGAGCACCCACGGACATGGAGACCCGGTTACGCGATGAATTAAGCAGAATTCGGATCGAGGAATTGTCTTGCACTGAGGCCGAATGGAAAGGGTGCATAGAAAGCAACGTCCAGCAGATAGCTCGAGGGGATCTACATGTTGAGTCAAACGTGTACACTGTAGGTGGCGGACCTCCTGTCCGAATCACTTCAACCAGTCAGTTAGAGGGGTTTCATTCTAGTTTAAAGAAGCTACTTGGACGGACGTGCGGGCAGAAGTTGGACTTCGCATCCTAGACATTCACATCGTTCAACACAACCTTACCATAGGAGCACAATACGGCAGAAATCCCGAGCTAGGCCAGCTTGATCTTATTGCAGCATGCCGCTCGGCACTTTTGTGTAGCCACGAAACCAGAGGGCTAGTTGCAACCTCTCGCGACCAGGAATTTATCACTAGCCTCATGTCCACCACTTTCAAACCGCCCCAGTATCGATCAGCTACTCCACAAGATTTCTCGTTTTAGACGTGGCAGAGCATCTTTCACAGTGCACGTGTCCAACCCAAAGCCTTCGAATCTAATCTGACCCAGTCGAGACAGCATTTTACCTCCATAAAATAACTGCTTACGAAAAAATGCTACAGCACTTCAAACCGGAAGTATTGATCGCCGCGTATTCATGCACCCACTCCGACTCGATGATACCAACCACGAGGTGCCACCGGATTTTCTGCAGAAGAGTACAAGTTACTTCGGCAGTTGGGAAGGGAGCAACTAGTTCCTCGTCGGGCATGGGCTGAATCTGTCCTCGTCACGACTGTCATGTACAATCTTGTAGTAGCCACCAATAGTAATTCCCAGCGGAAGTTACGGCGTCGCAGCATTCGAACCGTGGAAGCTGCCTTGAAGACGACAAATCTCCAAGTACACACGTCTGCTTCAAACTCATCGCTACACTCCAACATCTTCCCGTTCCGTGTACAAACCCAAGAAGCAAGTGTTGAGATGCTATCAACCAACGTTCTTCCAAACTGATACTGCCACACTACGACCGCCTGTAGTTCAATCATCCACTGCTGCCACGTATCCGCCACGTGCCAGCACTGAGGTGTCGTCACTACACCAGCAACTCCAAGTTTCTTTTGCAAGCCACACTCCTGCTGCTCGAATTGCAGACGAACTCCTTGAAGAATTGCGAAAACTATCGAAGAATTTGCATGGTGTCCGAGGAAAATGGCCACATCTTCTGAATGTTTTCCGATCATACTATTCAGGTGTGAGGATGAACGAGAACACACCCCGCATGCGCTTAAGAAATCGACCTCCCGCTCAAAGGCATCAACAGCGCAAGCTGACTTGGCAGCACCATTGGTAGAGCTGCAACATCCAAAAAAGCGAAATTCAACTGCGTGTAGTGCTTGCCAGAAGGGACGGAAGAAGTGCGGAGAGGATCCGGGCTGCTTATACAACACATCAGCACAGAAGAACACTCTGGTTAGATATTTTACCTCCAATGAATAGCAATACATGAAGTCTCACCTGTTGTCCAGCTCTCTATGAAATAGCGGTCGTGTTAGTGTAGATGGATGCACGAATTGCTAGCCCACCGGCAGCCACTGGGGACTGTGCTGATCTTCCGTTTGTGATGGCTCTTGTTGAGATAATATATTATGTGTCCCACACGAAAAATACCGCGGGGGGGGGGGGGGGGCGATGTTTTCCAATGTAGAGTGTAGCTCGTTCATAATAGATCGACAGAAGCAGGTGATCAGAACAGAAACATTAAGCCCGTTATTTTTGGTGGCAAAACTAATTTGGGAAAGAACTTTACTACGAGACGAGTTGAACCGGTCAAAAACCTTCAAGAAATCGACGGCTCCAAGCACAGGACAAGGTCGTGGTTTTGGGCTTGATGAGCGAACGGGTGGGACGTGGGTATAGCGGTGCGTCGATTTTCCGCTGGACACTCGTACGTAAACCTTGCTGCGAACAAGCTAAGTGCCTGGATCACCAGAGAAAGCAGTATCCGCAGTGATGCTCACCGCGAGTTGGCTAATAACATTATATCATCACGTTTTGGCTTGCCGCGGCAGTGGGGAACGCGAGCACGAATGGAGCTTACGCATATTTTGAACCGAGCGATCATTCTCGCAGGAAGCGTACGATCGATTTGTACTGAATTGTGGGAAATTCAGATCTCAGTTTTTATTGAACTAAGGAGATTACGATATTAAAACTCAATCAATCCGAATCATCTTTCACCATTTTTTCGGGGCCTTTGAACGAGCTATTACACTGTTAATAGAGACCTTGCGCAACAGCCACAAACAGAAAAAAGAAACAGTGAGGACGCACGCGGTTAGGGTAAGAATGTCACTGTATTTTGGTGATAGGAAAGTACTTTAGCTTCCTCCTCACTGTGTAACACAAAACTAGTGGCTGGATAAAGCAAAAAAAAAGCGGCATGGATAACGAAGATACCAGAGTCCTTACTAAAGTTGTCGAGCCGGCAGAAGCCCCCGGCAACAGTGAGAACCAGGCCAAGCGCAAGAAAGCTTTCCGGTTTGCTTCGTCTAGCGACGTTCTGCTGCTGAAAAAAACTGTTAAGCACCGACCTTGGGCTGCTGTCCACGGAGAGACCCAAGTGTTTTGGGCTAGCGTTGTAACTGGACTCAAGACAGCTCTACCGTCATGTACAGCAGACGGAAAGGCCTGTCGTCGCCGTTTCAATGCCCTCTTAGATGGTTTTCGCCGCAACGAGCTGGAATCCGTCGGGAGCAAGAACCGGCTGATACTTTAAGACATGCTTTCTCTACGCCAGGCAACAAAACAGAGTTTAGTAAAATACAAAAACTAAAATTGTGATAACTTGCCTTGTGTTCGTTAAATATATACTTTTGATGCCGTGTAGGACGGCACGTACGGCGTACGGTACCATCGATAAGCCCAACACAGGTGTGTAAGGGTGCCCCTTTGCAACGAATAGCACTAGTGTATGAGCTTAGCGTCTCCTCTGTGAGCCGAGCATGGTCGAAATTAAGTATATGGTGGAACGAGTTGTAGAGATGGTCCAATACTGCATTTGAAATCAACGAGATCGCAGTTTTGTCACGGCCAAACAGGTCCTCGATGTCACTCAAACGTGCTGGATACACCATTCGGCGAAGAAAGATGCAGAAAGTCTCGAAAGCCGACACCAGGTAGCGCTGACGAGTTGGAAATGGGCCCGTCAGCTTAAATAACCCAACGAGAACGAGCAGCTCCTCCTTTTCAAAAGCGGAACTTTGCTTTCCATGATGGGTCTGTCGAGGGCAGACTGAAGTTAAAGCGACAGAGAGGTCGAGCGCTGTCTGCCTGGGATAGCAGTACAGCTATCACCACTTCTTCGTCTCCCGAGCTGGAGCTGTCACTGTCCATTCGCTTTGTCCTTTTTTAAATGAGACTCCTGCACAAGGCTTTAGTCACATATCTTCCCTGAGTAATCGAATAATTATTCACTGTAAATTTACTGCTCTGAAACTGTTGCACAAGGTCTCTAATGCCAGTCTATCGTAGACACTGCTGCCGCAGCCGTGGATAAGCCGGCAGCACTATCCGCGACGAGCGGCCCACACGTTCGCGCCGACTGAAGCAAGGCAAGCAAAATCGGAGAGCATGTTCGTGTGCATGATGTGCTGATTTGTGGTGGCTGCCGTCCAAGTTCTGGCGTCCTCGCCTGTTGCAATTTGCATGCTCGCCGGGCTTCCTCCTTCTCTTGACGGCCTGTGTTGCTGTGGTTGGGCTACTGGGACGTTGACGCGGTGGTGTGGCCTTGTGTTTGCGTCTCGGGGCAGTTGGGGTGGCGTGGATGGCGGCCTGACGCCCCATGGGAGCTACGTGCGGTCGACGTGCTGGCGAATTAGGCGGAGGGGATGGTGTCGACACGGACGATGCGGATGACGTTGCAGCGGGAGGTCGGGCCAGCGCAGAGCCGGGTCCAGTAGCATGAGAATTCGGTGGCGTGGACACATTGGTGCCGCTGTCCGTGTCGCTGGTGCGACGACGACATGCCTGCGTAATGAAAACGTGATTTCAAAAATTGAATTTCATGTGAATATTTTCGTTTAATTCATCATGATGATTGGATGTGAGTTGAGAATATTGGACTAACCCAGCGAATCACATCAAGCATAAAGAAAATCTGATTGGTTGTTTTGCGGTAGTCGTCATGTGTACCATAAGCCAGGTACATTTCGGCTCATCACTACAACTGGCGACATCAAAGAAAAAACCGTTCACAAGCCGCGTGCTGCAAGCCTTCTCACGTGCCTCAGAGCGCCTTGTATCGACCCGCAGACCTCGCTTTGGGTAGAGGGATCATCAGGCTTCCCGTTGGTGTAACACCCTGTCAGAATGGGTAACGCCGCGCCGCGCGCGCAGCCGCAGAGCGTGCTGGACAGTGCATCGCAGTACCGCACCTTCCTCATGGACTACACGCCGCGTTCGATGGATATGATGTTTGGCAGCTTGATTGGAGACGGCAAATTCCTCAAGAGCATCTCGTGCAAGTGTGACGAGGGGCATTTAGTGGTCAAGATCTACCGTAAATATGACGAACGCGAGTCCTTAACCAGCGCTGAGGTGGCATTGCGCCGTCTAGCGCTCGCCTTTTCCGTGGAACAGCAGCCGAATGTGATCCCATACGCAGACTTCCAGTTGTCCAACAAGTACAATGTGGCCTTCATGGTGCGTCAATACTTCGCCTCGAATTTATACGACCGTATCTGTTCCAGACCGTTCTTGACTATGGTGGAGAAGAAATGGATCGCCTTTCAGATACTGAGAGCGCTGGAGCAGAGCCATGCCAAGGGCATCTGCCACGGAGACATTAAACAGGAGAACGTCATGGTGACAAGCTGGAATTGGGTCTTTCTGACGGACTTTGCGCCGTTTAAACCGACCTACATCCCGGAGGACGACCCTGCAGACTACAATTACTACTTTTGTGCTATTGACGCCACTCGACGTGGCTGCAGTGTGGCACCAGAGAGATTTTACGGTAAAGGATCTGTGTCGATGAGTGGAGCTACTGGGTCAACGCCCGGGACTGGAGGGATCAACTCAATGAAAACACCCGATGCTGCGATGATGCTCTCTAGAATGGCAGATAGTGAAGTGACAGTGGAAGAAGTGGACAAACAGATTCTGGCTATGGGCATGGGCAGTGCAACAACGACAGGAAACCCCATGCAAACGCCTCCATTGACGGCGTCGAATAGCAGTGCACCCTCGTCCTATTCTCGCTCGCGTCGTGAAGGCAGTTTACTGGAATCTATGGATATTTTCTCGGCTGGATGTGTGATTGCTGAGCTTTTCTTGGGTGGCAAACCTCTCTTCGATCTCCCGTCGTTGCTTAAATACCGTACTGGAGACTCAGAGGCGCTACGATATCAGCTGAAGAAAGTGGGAGACCCACGTCTTGAGGAACTGCTTCTGCACATGCTACAGTTGGATCCGACTGCACGGCTGTCGGCTAGTGGATATCTGGCCAAGTATACGAGTCCAAGTGGCCTGTTTCCGACGTATTTCGATAACTTCTTGTTCCGTTTCCTCGTGCTGGTGCTGAGTCGCGGTGGAAAAGTGCCTGATGCACGTATCCGCCTTGTATGCAAGTATTATGGACGATTGGTGCGTGAAATAGCGGGTGTTGAAGACCCAGAGGGGGAAGAGTTCTTTAAGCTGCGGTTGAAGGAAGGTTACGGCTCAGACCGCTTAGCGACGGCCACAGGAGGAGATCAGCAGACGCATGTAGCACAGCGTGTACTTGAAGAGCTGAACCAGACGATTCCTACGAAACACGGCAAGCAGAAGGCTGAGCGAGACAACTCGGCACTCACGAAGCTTCAAAAGATGAAGGAGAAAGAGAACGACATGCGTGGTCTCAGTTCTACCTTACAGAAGAAGAAGATTGAGAAGCTGCACGACCAGTTTAATGCTCTTAACCAGAAGAAGAGCAACTCGCTGCTTCTAGGCTATGCTCGTGAGCCGTCCACAGGTCGTTTGGATGAAGAAACATCGGAGGATGCTGGAGGCAAAGACGGAGCGGGTATGAACGGATCTTCGGTTAAGAGTAACACGGCTACACCGCCACCACACTCAAGTAAGTCACGACGTATGAAGCCACCGACATATCCTGGTAGCGAACCGTGGCCTCAAGATCGCAACGGCATCGTTATTGTTTTGTCGCTCATTTGCTCTAGTCTCCGACATGTTCAAGTTCCAGAGTCGAAGCTCACAGCGCTGTATCTGATCCGTGCGTTGGGTCAGTTCACAAGCGACGAAGCTCGACTGCAGCGTCTGATTCCGTACCTTCTCGAGGTTATTGACGATCCCAGCGCCACTGTGCGCGCTTTGGCTCTCCGCACAATCACCTATTTGCTGTCGTTGGTGGAATCCTTCCCACTTGCTGACGCCTCAGTGTTCCCACAGTATGTGCTGCCCGCTATGGTGCCTTTCCAGTCTGATCCGGATGAGTTGGTTCGTATCACATTTGCCGAGTGTTTACCCCAATTGGCTGAAACCAGTCGCCGGTTCTTGGAGATCGCGCACGCTATGAAGCAGAAGACACTAACGTCGTCGGGATCGGCCGCCACGATGTCCAACCGAGGCACCGATTCGTCTGTTCCCAGCACGTTGTACATGGCGTCCAGCAGTTTTGATAAGGAGCTGAGTGTGTTGCACAAAATGATCTCTCGGTTCGTGATCCAGCTCACTACGCCCGATCAAAAGGCCTCGTCGTCTCTTGTCAAGCGCGCGCTGCTCGTCGATATCACAAGACTCTGCGTCTTTTTCGGCCAAGAACGTACTCTTGACGTGGTGCTGCCACAGCTCATTACTTTCCTCAACGATCCAGACTGGGAGCTACGTGGCGCATTCTTTGACTACATTGTTGGCGTGTGCTCATTTGTGGGACCTGTAGCTGTGGAGCACAACATCCTGCCGTGCATTGAGCAGGCTTTGTTTGATGTACAGGAGATTGTCATTACCAAGGCGGTGGAGTGTCTAACTGGACTATGTCAGCTCGGATTGTTCCAGAAAAAAATCAGTACGCTCGTGGAGAAGGCTCGTATGACGTGTTCGTTGCTGTTGCATCCGAGCTGGTGGATACGCGACGCTGTGTTGAAGCTGATGGGCGAGATTGCCTTGAAGCTGCGCAGTGTGGACGCCAATGTGTTCTTGAGTCCGCTGCTACGGCCATTTTTGCGCAAGACGATGGTGTTCCTACCCGACGAAGAGGTTTCTGCAGTCACCAAGCGACTTCGAGATTGCTGTCGGCCCCATGTGTCGCGCGAGACATTCGATCGCGCGCTTTTAGCGTCCTCGTCTTCTTCTGGCCTCAATGAAGTCATTGCTGAAATGGAGAGATCTGTTTCGCAGGTTTGTGAAGAGAGTGATGACGATATGATCCCACCTGCGCCTCTCACTGCAATGACGACGACGTCGCGAGAGTCTCTAGAGGAGCCGATCAGCGATATTTCTGCGTCTCGTAAGAACAGAGACCCTCTGTTGAGCTCCGATTCGATTGACGGGTACGGTATGTGCCGTCAACAATCGTCTGGTGCAGCAGTCGCATCGTCTGCAGCGATAACCGCAGAAACTATCTCGAATAGTGTGGATGATGGCGTGTCTTCAGTCTACGATCAGCGCAAAAATGAGATCCAATCACTCAAGCTCATGCAACAGTACGTGTCGATTGCCTCAATGCAGATGCGCAGCAAGTTGGAAATGGCCAAGACAGAGCAAGCTGCACGTATGCAAGGACCTTCCAAGAGCGATCGTGCTGGATCACCGCACGGTTCAGCGTCTAGCACATCGGTGACTGTCGGGGGTGGCGCTGGAACCAGCAGCAACCCATTCGCTCGCAAGCTTTCGCGCTCGCATCTTCGTGTTCTCTTCGTACCCGATATGCGCTTTGCACTTTCGACAGCTCAACCTCTGAAGGCCAGCAATTTTGGCATCTCGTCGTCTTCTTCTGCAACGGCCAGTAGCTCTACATCCACGTCGGCAGCTTCTACATCTACTGCTCTGGTAACGAGGTCTCGCTCGCATGCAGCCGGCAGCTCGCCGTCTCATCGTGGAGCTGGTCAGAATGGATCACCGACTGGAACTCCCTCGTTGGAGAGCCTCTCGTTGTCGCATGTGGGCAAGATGTACAGCCTTGTGGAGCCAAGCACACCCATTTCAGCATCTCCGATCACAGTAACGGGTCCGTCGTCTGTGGTTCCTCCTGGCTCTCTATCCTCTTCGCTGGACGACTCTGGACTGGGCCAAATGGATTCCAACCACTTCGCACCCACCAGCGGTGGAGTTATGGTGAGTATGCTTAACATGAATATGCGCGATATGTACGGCGGCGACGGTATGAGCAGCTTGCTGGATCCGCATCACCATCCAGTCCACGCGTCGCCTGTATCGCCTCCTAGACAGAGGATGATCAAGAAGGCTCACACAACGTATCACCACTATTTCGCTTTCAAGGAGTCAGCGATGGACCCCGCGCTCGGAAATCCTCGCAAGTTGCTAGCACGTCTGAACGCACTGGGTATCCCTCCGTTGCCACCTGATCTTGGTGCGCTGCGGCTTTCGGATGGCTCGCCTTACTCTATCTACAGTCACGCACCAAGTCCATACTGCTTGATGGATGGCTTCGGAACTTCCGGGGTAGGTAATGGAGCACCAGGCAGCGAGAGAGGAGGCACGAGTGTTTCGAGTGTAAATTCATCTCCAGTTCAGATTGGCAGTAGTACGTATCCTCCAAACGGTGGTAGTACGTTTACTGCAGCGGTGGCAGCAGCTGCAGCAATCAATGGAGGTGTAACACCCGGAAACTTTGGCAGTTCTTCCAGTAGTAACGGTCCTGGAAGCAGCTCGAGTAGTGCCAACGGAGTGAGCAGCAGTGGTGGGTACCCTAGCTCGTCTTATCGCAACTGGCAACCTCGCAAGAACGTGCTGGTGGCGGAACTGGCGGAACACTCGGGTGCTGTTACACGCGTGAATGCTGCTCAAGACTACAGCTTCCTAGCATCGGCTTCAAACGACGGAACAGTGAAGATTTGGTCCGTGCGATCGCTGCAGCACAGTGTAAATCAAGGATCACGATGCACGTATGATGGCCAGGGTGGAGTGATTACCGATATGAAGGTGCTTACCAATAGCCACTCGGTTGCCTCGGCCTCTAGTGACGGCACAGTGCACGTCTTCCGAGTGGATAAGGTGAACTCTGTGGGTGGAAACGTACAGACGACTGGTCTCAAGGAGCTGCGTGCGAACAACAGCGCAGTCATGGCAATTGACTACTTGAACAACGTCACGGAGTCTCTACTGTTGTACGCTACTCGCGATGGCAAGATCCACGCGTGGGACCTGCGTATGCGCCGTGAAGCCTGGACTCTCAGTATATCTCCTGAGCTGGGCTACATTACATGCATTACGCACTCGCTAGACGTGAGTTGGTTAGCTGTTGGAACGAGTCGAGGCTTCTTGTGTCTGTGGGATCTGCGCTTCTTGGTGCTTATCCGGGTCTGGAGACACTCGTCCCATCGTGCGATCCACAGACTCCAGCCCTGCTTGGGTTTGCCCAACACGCTGCCACTTGACGAGACGTCGGTGCCGCTAGTATTCGTGGCTGCTGGCGATGGTGAAGTCGCGGTGTTCGACCTCAGTATCGGCGCCTGTCGTGCTGTGTTCCGTACGCTTGAAGCGCAGGCATCTGAAGCCGAAGCTTGCAAGTGTCCAACACTTCTGCACGTGCCGATCCCTCACCGTAGTCGCAGTGTACTTGGAAGTTTCCTGGGCATCCTTGGCATCAGTACGGCCTTCGACGAGATCGCCACGTCTCCCCTAAGTGAAGAACCGAGTGTACGTGCGATGTTGTGTCCATCCCTGCATCTGCGTGGCATTGGAGACGCGTTGATTACTGGCGGAGAAGACCGACAACTGCGGTATTGGGATATTCGCAATGGAAAGCAATCGTACACTGTCTGCGGCAATGGAGAAGCCAAGTCGTTCTACGACAACCAAGCTCCTCCTAACGACTGGTGGCGCATGAGCTCGTCAGCGTCTGCTCCAAAACGTTTTGATGAGATGCCATCGGTGCCAGTCTCGACCGCGCAAGCCATCACGAAGCCTGAGTTGGCGTGGAGTAAGCTGAGTCCTCCTCTCATTACTGTGTGTCAGGACTCGTCCTTCTACTCGTCTCCGGGAGGCGTCGCGGGTGCAGCAGCTTCGGGAGCTGGAGGTGTGGAGTCCGCTATCAGCATGGAACGAAGAGGCCTCGTACCCCCGTCTCCGGCTCACACGGACTGCATCCTGGACCTGACACTTGTGGAGTTGGGAAGCAGCCAGAATCCAAGCCCCATGCTGGTTTCCAGTGGTCGTGACGCACTCATTAAGGTGTGGAAGTGACGACGTGCAGTAGGAGAGTATTGAAGTGATCAGCTAAGAAGAATAACATGAACATGAATGGATAGTGTTGCGCGTCTAAAGTTGCTACAATTGACTGGTCAATTACCGCTTCTTGTGGCGCTTGTTGCCGCCCTGTTGGCGCTTCATCTTGAGCTTCTTGTTGAGTTTGCTGACGGCGGAACCTCCTCCGTCTCCGTCCTCAGCACCTCGTTTCTTGCCCGTCACAATGCTGGCTTTCTTGCCCATCATAGCCTTGCGTGCGACACGGGCATCCTTGAGCTTGGAGCGTTTGGACGGCAGAGCCTTGCCCTTGCGTTGCTGCTGTATCCGCTGGAATAGTGTCAAGTGCTGCTCCTTGTCGATTTTTTTCTTCTTGTGATGGAACGCTGGGTGCTTGGGCTTGTCGGCCTCTTCTTCGTCGTCCGAGGGCTCCAAATCGCTTCCACTGTCGTCGCTGTCGCTCTGTAAATCTCCCACCGACGTCATGACCGTCACCACGTCGCCGAATTTGCCCTGAGTAAAGTCATCGTTAAAAGTTTCGACTTTAGTCACGGCCTTAGCGCCGCCCAGCACGAGTTTAGTCTCGTTATCGGAGCCATCCGACTCGCTCTCAGCCTCGCTCTCTTCTTCCTCGTCCTTCTTATCGTCGTCTAGCAGATTGAGCGCCGCCAGTTTCTCCTTTTGTTCCTCGCGTCGCTGTTTCTTGGCTTCAAGTTGCCGCTTCTTAACCTTGTACGCCTCCATGTCCAGACCGAAGCGGCGTCGCTCCTGCTTACGTTTGTGGAAGCCCGTGAGATATTCTTTTCTCTTGTCTGGGTCAAATGTCACCACCAGCTTCGACTTCTTGCGCTTGTTTGGGTTGGCTCCCATGCCTGTAGTACCACGACCCAGCTTGGCCTTGCCCACAGCGCCGCGTTTGCCCTGCCGGGACGTCGCTCCATGCGCTGCCGGCGCCATCACTGCAGTGCCAGTCAAGTAATAGTGTGTTTGACACACAAAGCTATTAGGAGTGTGAAGCACACCATTTATCAATAGGTGCATGATATAGTGTTCACCACACGATATCCGTCGTGGGTTCGCTTTTTGCGCACTTCCTTCGGTCTCATACAAACGCCGAGTGTTTTGTCGTCATGAGCGCGGACTCGTCGGCGGTGCGGCCGCTGCCGTTCGTGCTGGTGGACGATGACGGAGGCTTCAGCGTGAACCCCGAGGCGTGCGCCGTGCTGGAGAGGGTCAAGTCGCGGCTCGTCGTAGTGGCCGTAGCAGGTCTGTACCGCACAGGCAAGAGTTTCCTGCTCAACATGCTCGTGAAGGGCGTATCCGGGTCACGTCAGGAGCAGCCAGGTTTCGCTGTGGGCGGCACAGTCAACGCCTGTACCAAGGGCATTTGGATGTGGGGAGAGCCCATCCCTCTGGACGAGGACACCAGCATACTTTTCCTCGATACCGAAGGACTAGGCTCTGTGGACCGCGAACAGACCCACGACACGCGCATCTTCGCGCTGGCGCTGCTTTTGGCGTCGAACTTTGTGTACAACAGTCGCGGCGTCATTGACGGCAACGCCATTGAAGATCTATCGCTTGTGGTGAACCTGTCCAAGCACATCCAGACGTCTTCGACTTCTAAAGACGCAGCAGGAAATGCTGACAGGCTGCACGAGTTCTTCCCGAGCTTCATGTGGGTCGTGAGGGACTTTACACTGCAACTACTGGACAACGGCAAGCCCATTTCATCCAAACAGTATCTAGAGAATGCTCTAAAGCCGACAGGAGGCTACAGCGATGACGCAGTAGAGAAAGACCAGATCCGAGCACTATTGAGTGACTTCTTTAGACACAGAGACTGTGTGACACTCGTACGACCTGTGGACGATGAACAGAAGCTGCGGAATCTGCCCAAAGTGCCATACGAAGAGCTGAGAGACGAGTTCAGAGCCAGCTTTGAGGGTCTTCAAAAGAGACTATTTGGCAAGGCCAAACCCAAGAGCATGTTCGGGAAACCGCTCAATGGAGCGATGTTCGTCAATCTGGCTGGGTCTTATGTTGAGGCACTGAATAGTGGCAAAGCTCCCGTGATCTCGAGTGCTTGGAGCCGCGTTGTACAGGCCCAGTGTCATGATGCACTGGAGGACGCAGTGGAACGGTACAAGTCTGAGTTACATGCACGCGTGCGACGCTATCTGTCGCCTAAACAGTACGAAGAAGATGCTGGCTTTGAAGCTAACGGAGACAAGCAGGATGACGAACTTGAAGTGGTGGATAACGGCCAGGGCAGCAGCGCTATGTTCGATGAACACGGAAACCTGCGCAGTGTGGCGCTGCGTCCTGACCTGGAAGTACAGGATTCTATAGAAGAAGACCCGGCAGCGCCGGAGAATGAGATGATTGAGATCATGGAAAAGGACGACGACGCAGAAGCACGAACCTTCGAACGGACACGCTTGCCTTGTTCAGAGGATAAGCTTAGAAATGTGCATCGCTTGTGCAAGCGCTTGGCTAAGAAGAAGCTACGTGACATTGTCGATGGAGACATGGGAGCTGATGCCGAAGCTGGAGGAGGTGATGATTACATGGCGCAATTCCGCGCGGCAGTGAATGCAGAGTTTGATTCGTATCGTCAGCAGAATGCAGCAGCGTCCATGGCGTACTGTCGACACGTGCTGGATGTTCTAAGTCGACCAGGAACGGAGTATCTGGCACACCCTGAGCAGCACCGCCAGAAGTCAGCGATGGAACTGTTTCGTGAAACACAGACCTTCTTACAGGATGATTTGAGCGCGGTGCACAAGGAATACTTTGCACATGCCGTGGGTCCATCATCTGATGCCGCTTACTGCGAGTTTGTGAGCCAACGCGTTCTCTCGCAGGTGATTCAGCGCACAGAGGGTACGAATGCTGCACACATGACAGAAGTTCGTGCACTGGAGAAGCAGATGAATGATCTGAGTGTCAAGGTGGCAGTGGCACAGGGACAGGCTGGTGCAATGCAGGAACTTTCAGCTCAGCAACAACAGAAGTGCGAACAGGGGGTGAAGGAGGCTGAGCAGCGTTGCGCATCTGAACTGGCTGGGCTTCGCTCCACGCTGGAGTTCAAGACTAACGAGCTGGAGCACATTTTGAATCATAATGCGACTATGAAACGTCTGGCCGACACCGCACAACAGGGCCAATACCGAGCAACGGAATTTGCCTCCTCAGCCTTTGCACAGATATTGTGCGGATACCTCATCAAGCAGCACATGGCTCCTGGTGCTGGCGGATCAGCTCGCGCCAAGTGGCAGCAGCGGTATTTCGTCCTGCAAGGTCCACAGTTGAGCTTTTACGACACTAAGGAGGACTATGAACGCTGTCGTTCTGACAATCCGCCTATGGACGTCACGGGAGCGACCATCGAAGACAACTATGCTGTACCGGAAGCTTTCAGCGTTTCCTTCCGTGATGACAAGTACTACCCGCTGCAGCTTCACGCAAAGTCCCGCGAGGTCAAGCAGGAGTGGGTGCGCAGTTTACGTGCTGCTGCAGCTGGTCGTGGTGCTGCACAAGGAGGATCGCGCAGTCATGCTTCTTCTAGCTCATCCATGGGATCTTCTGCCTACGGTGATATGGGCAATTCGTCTTCTTCAACGGCTTACCAAGGAGGGAGAGAAGGACCTCCTAGCTACGCAGAATCGGCTTCGTCGGCCTACCAAGGTGGGGGCTATGCTTATGGAAATTCTTCCTCGAACATGTATGGTCCTACAGGTGGAGCTGGTGGCAGCCGATACATGCAAATGTAGTCAAGTCTACGTGGGTGCGAGTGAAGCACGGAAGTATTTGAACGTTTAGCAATGATTTTGATTTCCCAACTAGTGAATACAGCCGCGCTTGAAGCAATAAGTGCCAAGGGAAGCACGAGATGGAAACATTTAATTCATTAGACAAGATCGCAGACAAGTTACTGTCGGAAAGTTGTTGTCCTCTTGACGTTGTGCGTTTTACGATGGGGTCTTCATGCCAACCTTGGTTGAACCGATGTTACCACCACCGGCTTCAAGCAGATTCGACACTCCGATGTCCTCGAGGATCTTGATCACAGCACCAATACCAATGCGCTTCTGAGGGTCCCAGCGGCACATTCGCTCTACCAGATTCCATTCCTTATCTTTAAAAATCGTTGGACGCGCTGGTATCTTCTTCTCAACTCTCACTGCGTGGCTTACCCTTATGTCCGCCAAATCCCGTCCCCACGGAAATTCACCAGTTACTGCTTCAATGATGCACATTCCAAAAGCGTAAATATCTGATGCAAACGTGGGCAGGTCTCCCTCTAAACACTCAGGTGCTTTCCAACGTACGGCTTCCGTGGTTAGCGTCTCTTTAGACTTCGCTGTGGTTCCCAGAACACTCAATCCGAAATCTGCAATTTTTGCAGCTCCTCCCTCGCATACGAGGATATTGTCATTTTTGAGGTCTCCATGCACGATATTGTGGTCGTGAAGATGCTCGATCCCGAGAGCTGCCTGCAGTAGACGAAACCACAGCTCACGACGTCTACCCTTTTCTGGGCGTAAGTAGTCGGTGAGGGTCTGACGTGTTGCACGCTCACAAACGAAGAACGGTTGTGGTCCTTCATAGCATGCTCCATACAACTTAATCAAATTGGAGTGGTTCAGTGTAAACCACAAATCTGCCTCGCGACGAAATTGATTTCGACGGTTCTCATCGACTGCCATAGGTTTTAGTCTTTTCACAACCACATCTGTCCCGAACCATTTGCCCAGGTTCACAGAAGCAAACCCTCCACTTCCAATTCGGTCCTTCAGCTCTACCTGATAGCTAGGGATGAACCACTTGGGAATCACATCGGCACCTCTCACACCTCGCCGCTTCGCTTCTGTTAGCACAGTGTTCATCGCCTTCACAACATCCGGAGCGTAAGCACCAGCCCGAGTCTGCGCCTCAAACCTTAGCATCGCGATATCTTCTGGCCGATTCGTACGTTGAAAAAACGTTGATGGACTCTTCAGGAGCTTCAGTAATTCATCTCGCTGGCTAGACTGAGCTTTATCCCAAGTAGGCTGCCAGTGATGTACAGTGTTCTGGCCTTGTAGCTGTGGACAGCTATGCACTAGGTGGTCGATTTGGTAGTGGAAGTGATAGTTTTGGCCGGCTACCGACTGCGAGGCGATCTGAATTGACACGCTGCTGCTCGACAAAGATTCATCGAACATTCTGAAAAATTCCCAGACTAGCAAACTGAAATCTTCAACCAAGAGCTTAGGCAGTTCTCCAGCACGTTCCAACTGCGCATACACGTCTCGAAGGCGATCAAACACCGATCGATCCTGGTGAGTAAATTCCTGTTCGTGATCTTCAGCCAGTTCGTCAAACAGCTCAGCAACGGTTCCATCGAAGCTTGGTATAATGAAGTTTGATATGTTGCCAACTAACTGGGATTCCTCTGCATGCTTCTGACATCCATCCTCTGCCAATTGCTGCATTTTGAAACTCACGTCGTCCAGCTTAGTTCTCTCCGCAGGAATCTCAGCACATAGGCCTCGTAACATCTCCCATTCGTCGTCATTGATAAATTCCGGTTTAACATCCGGTAGACGCGATGTAGTTTTGTGTTTCCATGAGTCGAACGTTTTGTCCCGTGTTTCTCCTGAGAGGTTCGAATTGCGACCATTTAACAGGACGAAAAATACTGCCATCCCGAACCTCAACACGTCGTAGCTCTCTGCAGACTCTTCAGTTTGGCTATCGATGCTATCGTTTCTAATCATATGGGACCGATCCACACGGCTTCGTGGCGCCAATCCCAGTCCATCCAAGACACCTCTACGCTCCGAGTAACTGCAGAGAAGTGTAGCAGGTGACACATCGTGGTACACAAGGCCGCGATCGTGCACATACTGAAGACCAAGTGCACAGTTTGCCAAGTAATGCCACACATTCTTCTCAAAGGTAGGTGGAAAACACGACTCGTGAATAACAAAAGGCTTGCCGACGTATGACGCTCCATAGAATTTCCGAAGATGCGGGTGGTTGAGCTCCGTCCAAATATGAGCGAGTCGAATACACACTTCTTCGCACACTTCTCCACGGACTTCGTCACTCACATTTTCGTCAGCGTCTTTCTTCCTGGCCTTGTCGTCCCATCCAAGTTTCCTGTCTTCTAGTTTGGCCCTGTTCACCCAGGCCCATTCATGTTCAGAAGTGACGAACCAATCGGGGAGCTCGTCCGACACAAGACCAGCTTTCTGGACAACTACGTCATAAACCAGGGATATCGTGTCCAGCTCTTCGGACGTCAACTTGTCACGATATTTTTCATTCTCTCCAGCAAATGGCGTGATGCCGTCGTGATACTTCTCCACGCAGTAGCGCAGCAACGTCACGATCTCGAGCTGCTGGTTCTTGTCACCGAGTGAAGCAAGTAGCTGATCCTCGTCCAGGATAAAGTCCTTGAACACTTGGAGTCGCTCCTCTCGTTCAATTAGAAGCTGATCGTGCCATTCCTCGCGCTCCTTTAAGTCGAGAATATCGAGCGTGTCCAACGCGTTGTTGACGTACCGGTGCAGCAGAGTCACCACACGACCCGTGTCCGCCAGCTTCAACAGGAGATTCGATTGACTCTCGTACGAGTCCAGCAGCTCCTTCAGGATACGCGTGAAGCGGACCATGATGGCCACCGCACTCTGCTCATGACGACACACGTCGCGCAGCTTTCCAACGAAGTGGTCGGCCAGGCGGTCGGAAGTGCGGAAATCGCCCTTGTGCTTGGAATGCCAGCGACTGTCCTCCGGGATCTTAGAGTCCATCCAGAACTTCTTCATTGTTTTGCTGGTAGTGTTGGCAACCATGGTGGCTCAATCTGACGCGTGGTCGCGAATCGTTTCACACGCACGTGGAGGTCCGCGCCGTACGCAGTAAAAGCGAATGTGAGGTCAGCGCAGCCCCCACCGAGTGGGCCATATCCGCCATCTTGTTTGTACCCATTGACGAGGAGCTGGATCCGACAATCTCCCTTTAACTGGATCCGACAATCTCCCTTTAATAGAGCACTTCTTTAATATAGAGAGGTCCAATATGATTGGCTATGAAGTTGAAGTTGAAGCCCAGGCGAAAGCGCATTCACTCTCGATTCCGCACTCACCAAGGCTCCAAGAAGAAGGAAGTAGCATGTCGGTCCGTCGTGAGGTGGTCTCGCTCTCGCAGCTGCTGCGCCGCAATGAGAACTCGTAGGGGCTCGGCGCTGATTTAGTGATTTCCGCTCTGTGCTCAAAAATTTACTGTTCATGCAGGAGTTCACGTCGAGGAACTGGACGGGCGCCTCCTTTGCCACTGCAAACTTCGCGACGTAGAGCGGATACGCCACAATCCACCGGACAAAGGAGCATGGGGTCGAGGCAAGTGCAGTCTGCACCGTTCACGGAGAAGCCAGCGACCACTGGATTCCAGCAAAGTTTCACCCAATGCGTGCTGGACGCTAGCCGGGTGTTGACGTCGCAGTCGGAGGTTGGAGTGAGCAGCCAGACAAGCAGCGGCTTTCCTGCTCCCTCGCAAGAAGGTGCTGTGACGGCTTGGTTTACTGGTACTCTTGTTTCTATCATGATAAGATTTTGTTGGCCCGATGAACAGTGTACGCGCCAGAAAGTGACGAGTTGAGCGGCATTACGTCGATGTCGCAGTCGTCCTTCTCTCAGCCACAGTCTCAGAACTTGCTGGGGTCGAGTCAGGATGACCAGGTGACCAGGAGCTGCGTCCATGTATAAAGTATAAGTGTTTTAACCGTGAGTGGATTGTATTACTGCAGCTTTATCGCCTTCAACAGTGGCAGGCTGAGCGTGTAGTTCCGGCTTCTAAGTCTCCTGTTCACTGCAATGGCAGTGAGAAGTTGCAAGAGTTAGAACAGAATCTCACTAAGGCTTTTGTCGAGCACCGCCGCGAACAGAAGCAGCAGCACCAAGAGCTGCTGATGAAATTCGGCAGTCCGATAAAGAAATCGATTGCGGAAGTCGAGGCAAAGCTTGCGAGCAGCTGCGAAAGTCACCAGCAACAAAAGGTGGCAATTGGAGAGCTCGAAAAAGGCGTCAGCCATATGGCCGAATCAATATCTGCGCTCCGACAACAGGTTTTTGAGTTTGCATTGCTCGCCCCTGCGCCCATAACTTACTATGTCATGCCTCAATCAACAGAGCAAAGAAGCTAGCGAAGAAATCCGTACGGCTGTGGTCGATGAGACAGCAGCGGTGAAAGCCTCACTGACTGAGCTACAAGCAAGGGTTGAAACGGTTGAAGGCAGCGTAAAATCGTACTCTGATTTCGTTGCTCAAGCGCTCAAAGAGGAAGCAACCAAACATGATGCGCTGCTGTCGGCTGTCGAAGCTTCATCCTGCACCTTCCATAAAGAACCTGCATTTGCTGAAGATTTTCCGGACACTGATATGGTTTGCAGAAAGAGAAGACGAAGCTCGCGCCTTCACGAAATAGTTGAAATGAATCCTGGCAGCTTCACTTCCCCCGCAGCTAAGCCACTTCCGCACACAAGGGCTAGATATTCCCCTCGCTGTGAAATCGGTAGCAGGTCTTGCTACGAAAGTGAGGACGACGAGACGCGTGACGAGGGACTTCATTTCGTGCTCCGGCGTATTGAAACTCTCCGCGCCAAGCGTCGCCAATATCAACACGATCTCTAAGGCTGACCGTAAGCAGGGTCACGACACAGCTAGCTGTGACACAATGGGAACGCACCACTGCCCCTCAGATTCGGCATCTACCTTCGACAATGACAAGCTTGTGATTCGCGTTGGCATGTATTTTCATCCTTTTTCTGACGTGTTTTCCCCTTTTACATCGCTCTCCGTACCACATATCGCTTTAATTCTCGCTTGTTATGTGCCCACCAAGGGTCTAGAACTCCGGTCGCGTCTGCACATTCCCCAACATAACAAACAACAGCATATTGGTAAGTCAAGTGTGCCTTTCGCTCCAGCACCCAATCATGCCACCACTGCATATATCCCCAGCTCCATGTAGCCCTACCGGGTAGCCAGCTCCATGCGTGGGGTCCTGGATGAGCTTGGCATACTCCTCGCGAAGACCCTTGCAGGCCATCTTGTGGTTCACGCCGTTTTCGCGGTAGCATGTGGCCAGCTCCTCGCGCACGACCTTAAGCGTCTCCTGCGCAAGCAACACGCGCTTGGCATACTCACGCTCAGCGGCGCGGATGGCCAGGATCTCGTCCTTGGAACGGAGCTGTGCGGCGTACATATCTCGATACAGGACGGCCGAATACTAGACCGCCGGGATGTCGTGAGCCTCTGAAATGCCCGAGGGGTCGAGCTAGCTCAAACTTAATGAAATCAAGTGAATTGGGAGGGGTGTCATAACAGCGTACCTGTAAAACGGTACACTCGTATTTGAAAGGGTTAGCTTTTGTAAACGGTTAATAACCCTTCTGGATTAAATCCGTTTATCGTACCTCACAAAAAGAATGCTTTGACTACAGCACAAATGACACTCAAATTTCCATTTAAAAGCGACGCAAAGATGCTTTCTTATGTTAGTGTTAGGATTTAGCTCGATTTTTTGAAAAGCCTGCTGGTTCTGAGCTCCAACTCCTTAGCTGCTACTCAAGGTTTTCAGATGTCTGTCTCAGTAAAAGCAGTTGTAAACGTTTTCTTGCAGTTGAGCCTCCGGAATCAGCCCTTAAATCAAATGCATCCCGACAATATCATATTTCCATTCATCAATGGTGTGGAGAAGCTGAAACACGAGCCTTGTAACGAAAGAGATCCTATTGAGGAAAGGAAGAGTTGAATTGAATTCTGAAAAGACTCGCCGATTGCTCAATCTCTACCGGCCGCCGGGGATATCGGGTTGGAGTGAAGACTTTGAACAGATTTCATACTTTTCGACCAGTGTGCCTTGAAGTTGATGGGTGCAATTGTGTAGTTTCCAGCTCAAACTAAAAAAAAAACGACATTCTGAGCGTATGCCATATCCTCTGGGCGCCCAGAGAAGCCTTCTTGGCATTCCATGAACAGCTTTTCGTAAATACGAACAACAGATGCATTGTGCGGGTCGGAGTCAGACCGCGTTATTATTGTCCAGGTTTGATCACGAAATCGAAGCCCCTCGGTTGTCAGAGTCATGATGTCAGTTCGCACGAATACAATCCGGTTCGAGTCTTCGAATTTCTGCATTAGTTGAACTCCGTTGACTCGCTTGATGTAGGATTGGCACTGTAGCGTGAAGATCCAGTTTTTTTCTTGAGAATTTGGCTGACGTCCAGAAATCTTTATGTTGCGAACAGCAAGACACATCGCGTGTTAGTATACTATTTCTTTGGATGGCAAATACACGGAGAACTTACGATGTGGGCCCATTTTTGAGGATCCGAGCGCTGGCCACTCTGTTCTCGCCACATGAGATCAGCCGCCACTTCCATTGAGCATGCGACAGGAGTCGTTGCCTTCATCTCAGCGACTTTGCTGTGCTTTTGTTCGTCGTACTGGACATTCATGCTGTAGTTCATCGACGAAGACGACCAAGAATCTAACAATGAGCCAGACTCCAGATATAGTTTCCCCACTAGCTGCTCTAGGTGGCCAACGATTGCTCGGTTGTTCTCGAATGCAGCGAAAGAATACCCAGGGGTTGGCTCGCAGCTGAATACGAAGTCAGTTCCCTGTGAGCACCACATCAAAGTGATTAAAAACGAAGATAGTGACAACAACTCTAAAAACCACACTTACCTTCAGTAATGCCTTCTTGTGTAGAGCTCGACATAGATTCTCGTTTGCACTCAAGTGGTGTGCAAGTATCGTTTTGAGTTTGCTGTTCGTCTCCTCCGAGTGTCATCGCTGATTTCGCTCAGTCTCCACCAAATTTCTCCATTTCATCTGGCAGGCTGCTGGATCTTCGTTCGCTACTACCATGTGGGAATTGAATGTAGATTTCTTCAGTTGGTCCAGTCGCTCTTGTAATTCCTGAGCTTCGTCACGAAGGTTCTGCAGCTCTGCCCTCTTGCGTCGCTGGACTCGCGTCGTGTACCCTGGTGGGTTTGTTTTCTTGGTACGTCTTTTCTCTCCGACCATGTTTGAGGTCGGAATTGGAATTGAGCTGTCACTAGAAGAAAGTGAATGAGTTTGGCCGGTGTTGGTGCGTTCGGTTTTCTGTTCGCAGTCGTCAAAATATTCATCGAAGGAATCAATGAACTCGATTGCTTCTGCTACTGTCATTCCGTCGTCCGCAGTCATCTCTAAGAAACTCATATTGAGTAATGACACAACTGAGTCGACAGGCGCTGCTGTTTACACTACAGACTAAACCGTAATATTTCATATGTCGGCAGGTACCGATTTACCAGTAAAACGACAATTCAGACCATCACTCAGCATCGCAATGATTATGAAGTTGGTGTGTTTCGATGTGCCTACATCAACAACTCTCGTATCACCATACGGTATCACGTTTACAGATTGAGTACCTCGTCTTCGAAGTATCTGACCCGCCGGCAAAACAAGCCCAAGAGATAAATCCTGAATTTGCACTCGTGAACCACCAAGCGCTCTAATAGGAAATCCATGTCATAACGTCGCGGCTATTGAGCGATTTTGAAGGTCTAGACTCAAGCTGACGCAACTCGGATTCCGTACCCAGCGTAATGTGAAGAAGTAGTTTATCTCCACACAATCGATGGCTTTCATGCACCGCTAGCGGTAATGCTTGTCATGACTGTAAACGGCTTTGAAAAGATTATTAAAAAAAAACTGCAAGCTTAAAGCCTCCTAAAATAAACCGTATACATGGTTTAGCACCACCATTTAGCAGTAAATCATTTGTATTTGTTGTGGCTATGGCGACTACGCCCATTTATTAATAGCAGTAAGTCATTGTACAATTGTGGTTCCTTTACTGACCGATCTGAGAACGCTCATAGCATAATATGCTCATTACAATATTATTGCGCTAAGCTCTGGGAACTACGTGACATTTAATCTGCAATCTCGTCACGATACCTGGGTGCTATTAGAATAGTACCTAGGTATCGTGACGAAATTGCAGTTTGTTTATGCCCAAATATTCATATTGCTTTTATTAGTAAGCTTGTCATAGGGTAGAAATTCCAAGCATAAGTCCCTATGTATTCAATAAGCCTGTCGCAATCAACAGCAAGGCGGATATTCGAAAGAAGGTGATTTCGGAAATTCGGTCTATAGAGTTTGTGTAGTTATTGAGTAATATGGGCTCGGCTCTGAATGCCATGTTTTTTTTCTCATACCGTGAATAATCCTATTTTATCATGCAGAATAATCTACATGTACCTCGAGGCTCGAGCCGAGGTACTTCCTCGACTGATTATGATGGAGCGTTGGCGTGAAATTGATGATGGTGGAGTTGGCATGTGAATAAAATTGGGCGGAAAATACAAGCCCAAGGCAACGAACTCATATTGCAATTTGCTCCTTTCAACATACTTGGAAAGCATTAACCCAAAGATGACTGCTTCGGCCTCCAGGAACGCAGATAAACGGCAGACAGCTCACGACAACGAGGGTGCACCCGAATTGTACCAGCACGTGGCTTCGCAAATGAATACTGAGCTACGACCGCGGCTGGAGGTTCGCTTTGAAAATGTATCGATAACGGCGGACATTATCGTAAAGGACGAGACGCAACTCCAAACAGAGCTACCCACGCTTGCCAACGTGATCCTGAAAGGTGCACGGCAACTCGGTGCCAAAAGCCACGTGGTGAAGAAAAATATACTTCGCAATGCCAGTGGGGTGTTTAAGCCGGGTACCATGACGTTGATCCTCGGACAACCCGGCTCAGGGAAGTCATCGCTGATGAAGTTGCTAAGCGGTAGACTGTCAACGGATAGGAATATCGTGGTGGAAGCTGATGTGACATTCAATGGGGTGGCTCACGACGCAGTGCTCAACGGTTTGCCGCAACTCGTGGCTTACGTGCCCCAGAATGATATTCATTTACCCACGTTAACAGTCAAGGAGACGCTCGAGTTCGCCCGGGCCTGTTGCGAAGGAACAGTGCCAATGCTCGATGAACAACAGCTTTACCACGGCGACCATGAACTACACACACTATATGCTGCTAGCGGCGCTATTAAGAATCACTCGGACATCGTCATCCGTCAGCTTGGTCTTGAAAATTGCCAAAATACCATGGTAGGTGATGCTATGCTACGGGGCGTGTCTGGTGGCGAGCGCAAGCGCGTGACTAGGGGCGAGATGGCGTTTGGCAACAAGCTCGTGTATTTTATGGATGAGATTAGCACAGGCTTGGACAGTTCCGCAACTTTTGACATCATCTCGGCCCAGCGCAGGTTGGCTAAGGCATTCGGCAAGACAATGGTAATCTCGCTCCTGCAGCCATCCCCCGAGGTTTTCGAGCTGTTCGACGACGTGATGTTACTAAACGAGGGCTACGTGATGTATTACGGGCCCCGTATTGAAGTGGGGGAGTACTTTGAAGGCTTGGGGTTAAAGTGTCCTGCAAGTCGCGATATGGCCGACTTCATGCTGGATCTTGGAACAAACAAACAGCGCCAATATGAAAGCGGCCCTGTACCAAGATTTGCGCAGCAGTTTGCCGATGCTTTTGATAAATCGGAGGTTCGTATTCGCGTAATGGATAAGCTACGCGCTCCATCGGAATGCAACATTGAGCCTATTGCCTCAATTGGGCACACACCAGAGTTCAAGCAAGACTTCCTCGCAGGAACTGCAACTGTTCTTTCCCGTGAATTCAAGATTCTAGCACATGACGTGACTGCCGTGAAAACTCGAGTATTCATGGCGTTAGTCATTGGATTACTGTATGGCACAGCGTTCTACCAATTCGAAACAACCAACGCTCAAGTGTTCATGGGTCTAGTGTATACAGCAGTGGATACGCTATCTGTGGCAAAAATTGCGCTCATTCCTTCGATCCTTGCTACTCGGGATGTGGTCTACAAACAGCGCGGTGCTAATTTCTACCGTACGTCGTCTATTGTGATTGCGAGCTCCGTTAAGGAGACCCCCCTTGTTGTGATGGAGATTTTGCTATTCGGAACCTTGACATACTGGATGTGCGGCTTTGTTTCGAGTGTGGAAAGCTATCTCATCTACCTACTCTTGCTGTTCGTCACGAATATGGCCTACATCGCTTTGTTCTTCTTCATCGCATTGGCCTGTCCAAATATCAACGTCGCCAACCCCATATCAATGCTCGTGCTCCTATTTCTGGCGACGTTTTCAGGCTTTTTGATCACCAAGGACTCGACACCCGCGTATTTGTCTTGGGTCTACTGGATTAGCCCTCATGGATGGGGAATTCATGCTGTCGCTGTGAATCAGTATCGAGAGGCACGTTTTAACACATGTGTGTATGATGGAGTGGACTATTGCGTCCGGTATGGAATGGAGATGGGTGAGTACATGCTTAGTTTGTATGGTGTGCCGACCGGAAGGTACTGGTTGTGGTACGGCATCATCTTCCTTATCGCGATATACTTCTTCTTCATGGCGCTGTCCTGCCTAGTGCTGGAGTATTGGCGCTATGAAACCCCAGAGACTATTTCTCTCAGCGATGAGTTGGGCGGTGTGGGTAACAGCAGCAGTCCAAGCAGCGACAACTACTCCCACATTGCTACGCCGAAAGTTATCGAAGACCAGTCGATGAGTATCCCCATCACGCAAACGGTGAAAAATTGTGTTCCAGTAACGCTCGCTTTCAAGGACTTGTGGTATTCCGTTCCCGACCCTTCTAACTCCAAAGCCAGCATCGACTTGCTGAAAGGCATCAGTGGATACGCGCTTCCAGGCACTATCATGGCACTCATGGGATCCTCGGGCGCAGGCAAGACCACGCTCATAGACGTCATCGCTGGACGTAAGTCCGCCGGCAAGATCACAGGGTCTATCCTACTGAATGGCTACCCAGTCAATGAAATTGCTCTCCGTCGGGCCACAGGTTATTGTGAACAGATGGATATTCACTCAGAAGCGTCTACATTCCGCGAAGCTTTGACTTTTAGTGCATTTTTGCGTCAAGATGCTTCTGTTCCTGACAGTGAAAAATATGCCTGCGTGAACGAATGTCTTGAACTTCTGGACTTGTACCCGATTGCAGACCGGATTGTCCGTGGAAGCTCTACGGAGCAGATGAAGCAACTTACGATTGGTGTGGAGTTGGCAGCGCAACCGAGTGTGCTGTTTTTGGACGAACCGACTAGCGGACTGGATGCACGTTCCGCCAAACACATTATGGATGGTGTACGAAAGGTGGCAAATACGGGTCGTACAATAGTGTGTACGATTCATCAGCCGTCTGCTGCGGTGTTCAGCGTGTTCGATAGCTTACTGCTTCTAAAACGCGGAGGTGAAATGGTATTTTTCGGTGATTTGGGAGCAAACGCATCGCTTTTGATCGAGTACTTCGAATCCATCGATGGTGTGGTGAAGTTGGGGAAGGATTGTAATCCAGCAACGTGGATATTAGAGGTGATCGGTGCTGGTGTGGGAAATGTCAATGATGATACAACGGATTATGCTGAGCTTTTTAAATCAAGTGCTCAAGCCTGACAACTCGAGGTTAATCTGGATCGCGAAGGAGTCGCCCGACCTTCATCATCTACTCCTGCCTTGAAGCTCGACAAGAAGCGTGCCGCTAACAATGTGACCCAGGCAAGATTCCTTATCAAGCGCTTCTTCGACATATACTGGAGAACGGCTTCGTATAATTTGACCCGATTCCTCATTTCAATCATGCTGGGCTTCGTATTTGGCATCGCCTACGTTGGTTCCGAGTACTCATCGTACCAGGGCATCAACGCTGGACTGGGCATGGTATTCATGACACAAAATTACATGACCTTCATCGTCTTCAGTAGTGTTGTACCCGTCTCGATCCAAGAAAGAGCCTCTTTTTACCGCGAGCGTTCAGCACAGATGTACAATGTGTTTTGGTACTTCATTGGCGCCACACTTGTCGAAATTCCGTACTGCTTTGTGGAGACTTTGTTGTTTGTCGCTATCTATTACCCCATGGTGGGGTTTACTGGTTGGGCTCAGTTCTTCTCATACTTGGCGAATCTTTTTGGTCTCGCGATTTTGCAAGCTTACTTCGGACAGCTTCTAGCATATCTGTGTCGCAAAGTGGAAGTCGCTTCCATTTTGGTTATCTTGATCAACTACATCTGGATCACGTTTACAGGGTTCAATCCACCAACTGCTTCTATTCCCCAAGGCTACCGATGGCTGTACCATATAACGCCGCACAAGTACACGTATGCTAGCCTGGTCGACATCGTGTTCGGGGACTGTCCAAGTGGTAGCAATGGCAGGGAGCTGGGCTGCCAACACATGACAGATGCACCGCCAAATCTCGGAAGCGACATCACGGTAGTAAAGTATTTGGATCTCATTTTTTCGGCAAGACACAGTGAGATCTGGGGGAACTTCGGCGTCATTTTCCTCTGGATCGCTTGCATTCGTGTCGTTTCGCTTCTAGCGCTTCGATTCGTTAATCACCAGAAGAAATGATGGACCATGTGGTTGTCATTGCTACAAGCTTATTTTCCTAAAGCAACAATAATGAAGCTGCTTCGTTGGACATGTGAATGAAACTTCATGGCGATACAGTAGAATATGTATAGCAGTACTTCACGACAAAGCGCTTGTAGACTGGTGCAGTATATGCTACTACTAGTTTTCAATTTAAAACGTTGGCTGTCAGCTTGCAGTTAAAAAAGCTATAGTTTTGTGTATCTTCACCGTCGCACTCAGTGGATTGACAGATATAAAAGATGTTTCATCATCGCCAACAAAATTACCACACGCAAACATACATCGTATACAATCAATACTGGAAGTATCAGAGCTTTTTTGTGTTTCTCGATTCTCACCAACGCGGGCCGATGGCCTACTCAGATGACCGTCGTGAAAACTATCGAGATAAAGGAATCATCATTTTCCCCAGTCTGCAAGCACATCGCCGCATGCAAGTTACACACGATGCGCACGTTGGCCTCTACCGTCGTCTCTCCAATTGCTACTGTTCTGAAATGGCAATTGTCTTGCCTTTGGAACAAACTCCAACGGGTGGCTCGCCGCGCTCATGCTCTGATTCGTCACAATTTATGTGTAAATTATTTCATTGGGTAATACTAATCTTTTTTACGAGCGTAATTACGTTTGTTGCGACCAGCAAGATCAACATTTTATCCAATCCGAGCCAGGTACCTATTTGAAAGGAACAATCGGGCTGGGCCATGGCGCCTGGTCGGCTAGAGACTCGCGCGTGGCGCAAGGAGAACGACGCCGGTAACCGACGCGTCAGTATCACCTCCAGTGAGGACAACCCTGTTCCTGGTGCCAATGGTGCGTCATGCTTTCATCTCTAAAGCTCGTGGTTCGCAGCTCCAAGCCTGTTCAATGTCTCATAAACAGTTCTGATTATTGCTTGGCTGTTTGCAGTCCCATTCGAAGAGCTGCTAGCTCGAGAGCTGCGTAAATCAGGAGGAACAGGCGCTAAATTTGCAGTATCAGCAAGTGGCAAAGCGGCCACGAAGCCTTTTCTCAAGAAAGGCGCGCGTGGATGGTGGATGCGACAACCAGGTGCCAAGCAGAAGGTGGTTAAGCACACGCTCATGTCTATGGGAGAAGAAGATGCTAGTAGGACAACACCGGTGATGCAGAGAAAGCAGCAGAAAGAACAGCAGAGGAGGAGAAGGTCTTCGTCAGCTTCTTCGTCGAAAACTCTTTCTCCAGTCGCGACATCACCGGAGCAGTTTCGGATTGACCCAGCACCGCCACAGACACTTTCACCGCCAGTGTCTCCAATTCAGCGGACGCAATACAGCAGTAACCAGGTGGATAATGACGCCGATGAGGAGCTGCAGAGGAGGCAGCAGAATGAGGAATTTGCTGCGTGGAAGAATGCATCGTTTCGCTCTACAACGAGTACCGACATGGGCTTGAGAAACGTGAGACAGTCGTATGAGGCCATGCAAGAGCGTGAAGCCAATGAAATGGCGGAGTTTGAGGCGATTGAGCGAGATCTGGCCTCAGAGAAAGAGGCATACTTGAAGGAGAAGCAGCAGCAAGAGCAGCAGCAGCAGCAGCCATTTGCACAAGTTGATCCACTTCACGATAACCAAGATGACCACTGGGGGCTGCCGTATTCTTCGTTTGTGTCGGAGCTTCATGATCAGGAACAATCAAGGTGGCAGACAGCCGGTTCAGGGTCGATTTTTGACGATAGTCTGGACGAAGGAGCGGACTCAGCACTTGTCTATGACGACCACTCAGCTCTGTCAAAGGACGACTGGATGACTGGGGATGATGGGCTTACCAACCAACTTCGCTCACATTTTGGTTACGGTAACACACCTTCCGACCTGAGCGCTGTTAGCTTTGATGATTCTGTGCCGTGGGACGATGGTTTATCGTTTCAGCCACGACAACACTCGGAACATGAACAGCCTTCTACCGCTGATGCTGCTGAGCTAACCCCTCAAAGCAACCAGAACAGTTCAATTGATCCAGTAATCGCAACCACCAGACTACAAGCAAGTGGACGCGGAGTACATTTCGCGGACTCTGACGACGATAGTATAGACGCTCTCGGGTACGATATACCTGAGGGCGATGCACCTGTTTCGTCGTTAGTTCAGCAAGTATTTGGAGGCATTAAGCAGGATGACGGCAATAGTAGTGACATCCCTTCCGCTGAGGGTTATAAGGACTCGATGGATGCTGGAGGTGATGGGAACATGAGAAATCTATCTCCGCCACCGCTGCCTGCTCAGGACAAGTCCTTATCGACGCTCAAGCAGAAATTGCGCGGAAAGCAAAAAGCACCCGTTTCAAGAGCAACAACAACCAAAAGAAAAGGAACGAATCCCCCAAAACAGAAGTCTGCCGCACATTCGCGCACTACTACGAAACAGAAAACTGGAGCAAATACAGGGAAACTGACACAGCCTCGAGATAGAGCGTCACCTACAGGCCCTTCTGGTATGATCCTACCCGCTGTTATCGAAGAAAAGCTGTATGAGCTGGAGGAAGAAGTCAAGTTTTACAAATCTGAGACGCTTCAGCTTCAAAAACGCAAGGACTATTACGACCAAGAAGTGAAGAAGTTAGCCCTTGAGCGGGACGAGTTTGCCCGTTATCAACAGGAACAGCGTGTTCTAATCGAAAAGGAGTGGGAACGGGAGCGAGCTAAAATGAAAAAAGAGGAGAAGCTTCAGGAGCGACAATGGAAGTTGCGTATGAATGCTACCATAGCTCATCAGGATCGAAAAGACCGCGGTGAAGTGGAAATGCTCAAGGCGCAGATCGTGAAGATGCAGCTCGACGAGAAAGCGCGTGTGAGTAAATGGATGGCTGCGAACGACAACTTGCGGCAGCGTGTTGCGGTACGTGGTGGATCATTGGCCTTGAGTTGATCAGCTCGTCTTAACCTAGAAATGCTGTGCTATTTTGTGTCGTATGCAGGAACTTGAGGAGAAGAACCGGGAGCTTAGTGACGAAATCAAATTTCTCGAGAAAGATCGCCTGGAGCAGTGGGAAAAGTACGAACGCTTATTAAAAGAGCGACAAGAAGCACCCAAATCGGCTTCACAACCTGATTATATCTCTGCAGTCGGCGAGAAACACGAACTTCACACGGTGGATGATGTTTTAGCGATCAAAGGAACAGCCGACGAGCTATTACAGAGGTGGAATTTCGCTCAGGGTGATGGTTCAACTCAAGAGGAGAAAGATCACACACCTAAATCGAGTTATGAACACCAGCAACCAAACGTCGTGGACGTTGACATCCCGAAGCGGTACAGTTTAGATCGAGAGGGTTTTCACCCTTCGAGCGAGCCGGGAAACCTCGAGAGCGTGACGAATGTTGGTGCTACTTATGAGTGGGCACTACCTGATGCTGAGGACGACAAAGCTCTGTATACAACCGATTACTCTAGTGGCGAAGCGGATGCCGCCATCTCAGCGTCAACGTCATCCTTGCCGGAGCACAAGGCGGTATTGCAAGAGATTAACCATCCTTGTGGGAAGAAAGAGTTGCTGTTTACGGATGGCAGCAAGAAAATCATTTTCTCGGACGGTAATGAGAAAGAAATCGATGCAAACGGCCACGTCGTCATCAAATTCACGAACGGTGACCATAAAGAGGTAAGCCAGTCATCTTAACCCCTTAACGTTAGGAGTACAGGAAGATCCAAGACTGACTTCGGCTTTCGTTGCTGCTACAGGTCTTCCCGGACACGGGGATCAGTGTATATTACTACCACGAGGCTCAAACGAAGCTAACAACGTACCCGGACAATAGGAAAGTGTACGAGTTCCCGAATCAACAGATCGAAACAAGTCTGCCTGACGGAACGACGGAAATCCAGTTCGCTGACGGCATTAAGAAGACAATCCGCCCGAACGGCGACGAGTTCTCCGTGTTTCCGGACGGAACCACAATGCTGGAGCAGCCTGGTGGTCTGCGCGAGGTGACGCTGCTCAACCAAAAGAAGATCCGCTACTTCCCGGACGGACAGATGGCCTGTGTCTCCCCTGGTGGCCAGGAGACTCGCGTTCGCTCCGACTCGGAGCTCAAGCAGCTCATGGAGACCACGTAAAATACTGATAAATGCCATGCAACATATTTATCGATGATAGATTACGGTACATGTATTGCGGACACGAGTGCAACCCATAATGTAGCCATAATATGGCTCGCAATTACGGCATCAACGGAATAATCATAATCATCCTCTTTTTTGTATGGAGCAGTCCGTCTCTGTCCGGTGTCGGAGTGTCTCGGTCGGTCAACTTTCATTCCGAATTCGCCCAGGATGGAGGCATTCCTGCGCAAGTATTGGCCACAGGGCTCCGTATCCGTGAGCTGCCGCGTGTACGCGAGTCAGCGGCGTGCCGATGAGCATAAGCGTCTGCAGTTGACGGCCAATGGTATTGAACTGCGCTCCGTGGGGTCATCGTCCGAGCCCGATGTGATCCCCTGGGACTCGATTATCGGCGCGTCCGAGTCCACGAGTGGCATTCGCCGCCGCTTCGTGTCCGTGTACGAAGGTGACGAGTACGGCGAGGAGAAGGAGTTTGTGGTCTTCGGATGCGTGCCGAAGCTCGAGAGCGCGGGCTCGGGAGGGCTCCTGGGTGGACTGACGTCATTGGCCAAGGCGGTGTTGCCCACAGCGCTCACGGCTAGTAAACCCGGGGTGGAGAGAACACTGGTGCAGTGGGTATTCAGATGTGACGACGACGATGGAGATGTCGTGGCCATGAGAACAGTGAAGGCCATCAGGTTCTTGGCGGACCCGAGGGTCGAACAGGGCATTAAAGCGGCCGAGAAGCTGCTGGATCCGTATGGATTTATGCCTCCTCGCAAGGTGAGCTGACTGTAAGGTGGAAAGAAAGAGGGAGGAGGTGCTGATGATTGATTGTTGTATAGTTCATGGTGGTCATCAACCCTGCTGGAGGCGCAGGCAACGCACAGCAGACGTTCGAGAAAGAGGTGGCGCCGATGCTAGAGCAAGCTAATGTGGAAGTGGAGACGGTTATCACGAAACAAGCAGCACATGCGACCGAGATTCTGGCGAATGTACCGCTGAACAAGTACGACTGCATTGTAGGAGTCGGAGGCGACGGCCTGTTGTCGGAGAGTAAGTGGCTGGTCGTTGGGGTATCGGTTGCCTCATCTAATAGGAAGGAGCTGACGATGTTGGGTTTTGTTGCAGTGCTACAAGGTTTGATGAATCGCAAGGACTGGCAGCAGGCGATTCTACAGCCGCTTGGAGTGTGTCATTCATTCTCCTTTCCTTTTATGTGGGTAGTTCTAATAACGCTTTATTTGTTACTCGCAGGTCATCCCGGGTGGATCCGGCAACGGTCTTTCTGCGTCGCTACTGTCACGTGCAGGCGAGCGCTTCGACGCACTCAACGCCGCCTATTCTCTCGCGAAGGGCCAAGTTCAAGAGCTGGATCTGTTCAGTGCGACAAATGGCGACGGCAAGGTCATGCACGGATTCCTGTCACTCGAATGGGCATTTATCGCTGATATGGACATCAAATCCGAGCGATATCGCTTTTTCGGCGACATGCGCTTCCTCGTATCGACCACCTTGCAGATCTTCGGCTTTGGGCAGACAATGTACCGTGGGCGGCTTCGTTATCTCGTCTCCAAGGACGATGAGCCACAACCGGCAAAGTATCACGATACGTTTAGTGGCGAGACAACAGCCAAGCCGACTTGCGCGTGCTTGGATAAGGAACAAGACGGAGAAAAGTCCGAACGGTGGGTGGAGATGGATGGTCCGTTCTACATGTTCTGGAGCATGAACGTCTCTCATGCTGCTGCGGATGCTCACATTGCGCCACCTGCTGACATTTCTGATGGCTACTTCCACATGATGCTGGTGTCTGGTGAGAGTTACTCGCGCATTAGACTGGCTAAGTTGATGATGGGGATTGAGGACGGTTCGCACTTGGACGTGGATCGTGTACAGCTCATCCGCACACGCGCGTTCTCGGTGCGTGCAAGCAATGCAGACGACCTCATGTGTGTCGACGGCGAACTTTTTCCCGGACCAGAAGTTAAGACTGAGGTGCACCGCGCACTGGGTCGTGTGCTCAGTCTTCCAGCTAAGAAGTAGCAATCGACACGAATAGAGACGCCAAGGTTCGAAGAGTAGACAAAAGCTTCGTCCTCGTAACGAAGTAATCTACTGTTTTTGCTTAGACGACTTTATGCGGTGCATCTCGGTGCACTATGATATCTTGTACTACAATGTCCTTCATGCGGCTTTGCACGTCCAGGGCTACTGTGTGCCGACGTAACTTTGGTGACGTCGTGTCCTTGAATACTCAAAGGCAATTCCTCGTGATTCGACTCTGCTACTGGCCCATCACTGTTGCAAATAGCGCAAAGCGGCATAACTTGGGTTGCATTTTCGCTCGGCATCACCAAATCCAAGGCGCCAATCGAAAGCACGGAGCACTTGGAAAGCGGCAATCTGCAACTACCAGGGTGTAGGTTACTTTTGCTCGAAGTGCTTCCTTTGCAGCGTGTGATATTGTGTTCATTAACTGAATCGGCCTTTATCGTTTCCTCTCACGCTGTGTTGTCCTCTTGCGCTTTCCTCCACACGCAAACTTGTTCCTTGATCTGTTCCTGCTGGTTGTGGAGTAGCTGAGGATCGATACGTTCAGCTGCCTCGATAGAATTCAACTCATCTGTATGCAAAAGGCTAAGTAGCTCTTCAGCGACAACTAATTCCACAAACTTGCCAAATAACTTCGTCTGGGGCCCACGACTACGATCTTGTCCTTCTGTCCGTATTTGCGTAGCATGTCGGCGCTCCAGAAATTCGTATGCAGCTGTGCGAGTGACGCAGTTCCCGTTTAGCGTTACCAGTTCATCCCAAAAGACTATCGCTGCTGCTGCGCTCGCGGCAGAATCACCCGAGTTTCCACGCAGCAGCTCCTGCAAGTCTTGCATTGTAAGCTTCTCTTGTTCCTTGCGTCCAGGTGCCACACCCAAACGCTGCAGTTCTTCATCATCGTCGTTGATTTCTTCCTTGCTCTCCTGCTCCTCTCTTGTGTTATCGGCCTTAAGCTTGTGACCAAGGTGAAAGATGCGCTCCTCAACTGAGCCTTGAACGATAAATCGGTGGACACACGTTTGCCGAGTCTGACCCAGACGATGGACACGGTTGACAGCTTGTGCTTCAATGCTACTACTAAGCAAGGGCTCAATAAGAAGTACCTCAGTCGCTTCCACGATGTTCAGTCCATTGGCGCCTACTTTGAACGGAAGTGCCAGTACACAGGCCGCTGGACAAGCTTGAAAGTGCTCCAGAAGCTTTGGTAGTTGCCGCTTTGTTCCGTACATGAAGCAGCGCACGCCAACTCGACGCAGAGGTTGCATGACCAGCTCCAACATCTGAGACCACTGCGAAAACAACAAACATTTTACAGTGGGGTTCTCCTGTCGAAGAATTTCCACACGCGCAAGTAACGCGTCCAGCTTAGAGCCTAAGCTTCCACTGTTGTGTTGTGGCAGTGCAGGTTGGCGTGGAACTTCAGAAACGGCTTCGTTTTGGCTAAGATCCTCCGACCTGGTTGAAGTGGACTCTGACGCCAACTGCTCCACAACAACAGTGATATTATCTACAGGACAAACACGGCGGCACGTTGGACAGCGGATATGTTTCCTGGCATGTTGGCGACCACCTTTCAGGTCTGATACACACCTCGTGCAGAACACGTGAGCGCACAATAGCACGGCGCGTCTCTGCGGAAATTCTTGTAGGCAGACAGCGCATAATGGACGAACGGGTGAAGATTCCGGACTTGCTTCGAGAGCATGGGCCTGTTGTGCTTGACGCGTTCCCGACTCGTTTTGAAGTTGCAACAAATATCGCAGCTGAGCCATTTTGTTTTTGAGAACTAGGTCAGCTGCCACACGTTCCGCTTCCAGCTCCGCCGTACGAACAGGGATCTCTTGGCGCTCCAATTTATACAATCTCTCAGCCTTAGTGCGTCCTGGTGGCTCATCAGGAAGTCGTAGGCGTAGCTGGCTACAAGCCATGACTAGCTCGTCAAGCGCTCCCAAACGCTGGTGTTGAGCCTGGAACAGCTTCTTTGCAGCTTGCCATTCACGTTGAAGCTTTTGCCAGAAGTCGGTCTCCGTCTGCATACCCGTCTGAATCTCGAGAGCTAGCTCTCTACCATCTTCCTGTGCACGCAACGCGCTGCGTGCACACCCCGAAATTTCTTTAAAAATCTCAACATATAGAGATGTAGACAATCCGCCACTACTGTCGTTTGAAGTATCTTCGTCCTCCATGTCGACATCGAACAAATCCACGATCGTCGTTTTGGTAGAAATAGTTTTATCAACCCCAAGAAAGTGTCGCCGATACGCTTCAAGTTCTTTGTACAACTGACAGTGAATACAAACTGGGCCAGTTCCACCGTCACGGCATTTTTTGCAGTTACCCGAAAGCTCCACGTCGGCGTCCGTCGGTGTGCCTTCACTCAGAGCTGCAAGACGGTCGAAAAGCTCGCGACGTCGTTTTGCCAAGGCCTCCAGCTCGCGTACGAGCAAAAGTCTGAGAGAACGCGTGCTGACAAGTTGAGAGCAAAAGGTCGTCCCCCAACGTGTATCAAAACCAGCAACCCGTGCTCGCACTCTGTCAACGAGCTGCAGTCCGTTGCCTCGCTCGCTCTGTTCAATGATGGCCAAGGCATCATTCCACCAATTCCCCGATGTACAAAGCAATTCCGTCCTACCTCCTGCGGAATGCTGTTGGCTATCGTCAATCATCTGGGAAATCTCTTTGAAGTTCGTGAGAGCTCGTGTATGCATCATGTCTGCTTGGAGTAGGTAGTACCGTCGGATTTGTCGAGCATTTTGACCCAGCAAGGCACATTCTCGACTAATTTCTGTGTGCTCTTCCTCACTCAGATCATTCGAGTCAGGAAGAAGCCCAGTCGATGAGACGCGTCTCTGAAGTGCAGGGAGTTCTGGAAGCAGGCAAACCTTTTTTGGGTCTTCTGTATTGCTCATGCCAGACAGAGCCTCGCTGTCATCATGTGTACCACTTTCAGGCAGTGAATAAAGCTGACGCACGCACTTCTCGAGGTTCTGCAATATGTGTAATCGCGGAAGTAGATCAGCACGGAAATGCGGCCAGTTCGTGCGAATAGGTCTCATTACAGCCATATACTTGAGCGCAGCCTCAGATATTTCATCTTTGAGTACCAGCAGTGCGGCCAAACCATTTTGCGCTCCAATAAGTTGTCGTTGGTCCTCTTCGCATTCTCGCTTGGCCTTGTTCACCAGTTCTTGGAGAAACGCATCCATGGTCATAACAGCTCTACTTGTAGTATTACCAGAAGAGCCCCAAGCTTGTCGAGCACCGCCAACCTGTGGATGGCAACATAACTGCCGCAACACCAGCAAGTCTTGCCACAACGGATCGTCTCGATCTATAACCTGGCCTGTCTGAGCTAGCTGCTGCTGCTGCTGTCGCTGCTGAATAAGAGACACGATGCGCTTCTCCTGTTGGTCATAGAAGTGTCTTTCTACAGCAGTGAAATGACACCAAACGACCTCACTCTTCTGCGGTGGAAGACCCAGCTGATCCAGCACGTGCTTCTTGCCCGTGCGCCATAGTATTCCACCCCCACAAACGGTACCAGCCTCGTCGTAACCATTCCATAAAAGCAGATCGAGAACACGCTCCACAGCACCGCGAGTGAAATTGTGCTCCACAACCTCTCGAAAGAATCCCGAATCCAAACCTTCCCGTTCGTTGTGTTCTGCCTGCAGTAGTTGGAGGTTTTGTCCTGATCTGTAGTCCTCTGCTTCCGATGAAGTGTATGGTGGAATACGCAGGAAGCGCAAGTAGCCGAATAATTCGCTTACTCGCGACGAAAATGGAGTGCCCGTGACTACCCATCGGTTCTCAGCACTAAGCCTCGCCAGAGTCAGCGCTGCCTGCAAACGTGTATTCTCCACTCCTACCTGCGCTTCATCCATGCATACCCGCCAAAAGCGTAAGGCCACTAGAGGAGATCCCACAAATGCATAGCGTTTGACCTGGGATCGTGTACTGGTTCGTCGGTCCTTTCCTTCAGTTGTTGGCACATATCGTAGGTCTGCACCCAATGCCTCATACGTTGATAAGACCACATCGTAGCGAGATAGGACAAGACCAGGTGACGCTAGCACTTGCCATTCAGCACTGGGCCCCTTATCCTCCAATCGAGCCTTTAAGGCGCGAACACCTGGGTAACGCATCACGGAGAGAGCACCCGCCCGTACGTGACGAGAAACTTCATGTTCCCACTGTGCGTGAATCGGCTCTGGTGACACAATAAGAGTCGTGCGGCACGCAAAAGTCGGTCTCTCGTGGCTCTGGCATTGATAACACATGAATCCACCGCTTGACCAGGTTGCGGTAGCGTCGTGTACAGTTTGGTCAGTTCCGAAATCCCAGAGGTTATGCGAATTGGAAAAAGAGTCTGACCCGGAATTGCTCTCGTTGACCCTGTATCCAGTGCAAAGCTGGTGGTGCCAAGTATCACAAAACTCGCACTGCACAAGCCCCATTGGATGATCCTCTGATGAGCCACAGATACACGCCACCACATCGCTATCTTCATCACCTTCTGTCGTAGATACTTGACACTGAGATAAGTGAGTTGATAGCAGCCGAGGTCCTAACGAAGATGGTCGATGGCTCAATATGAGAGCGATTACCTCGACGGTTTTCCCAAGACCCATTTCATCAGCTAGAATACCACCGTGTATCAACGAAAAATTCATTCCAATTGGCCGGAGTTGCTCTTGATGCGTCTGAAGCATGCCGGCTGATGGTGCGGTTGTGTAGAATGCAGCACAGAATGGGTCGTACGCCTGCAACTTCCTTGCCATTCCTTCATTAAACGTGACACATAACGGCAGTGAGCGATTACGTTGCGTGGATGGTTTCTCCCTAGAAAGCATCCACGACACCGCAGCTTTTTGATATCTCCGCAGCGTGGGAAGCAAATCAGCCGAAGTCGCCTCGAAAGTTTCGTAGTCTCTGATGTCGCGATTTAACTGCTCAGTTACGTCAATTCGGGCATAAATTTCAGGCATAGCAAACGTCTGACTTTTAAATTGTGCGGATACTGCGGTATTATTCCCCACAAAACGATCGTACAGCACTTCAATCTCCTTCCAGTATCGACATCTGCACGTCATATCAACGTCAGCCAATTGACTCTGCGCATCGTGCGTCTTTTTCAGCAGCCAAATCATCACGCGATGCATGGGACGCATCGGATTCGCTCGGGGTACTGCTACCATCGGACCCAAACTGTTTGGAAAGCAGCTCTCCATGTATTTGCGCCACGCCACACTTACAACAAAGCTGAAGCTCCATTGATCTTTCTCTACCTCACTCTTGGCATTGATATGGAGACTCAGTAGTCCGCCTTCTGCCAACGTAACGATGTGGGGTTTCCACGCCTCGTATGTGTCCGGAAAGAGCTCAGCTAACGACAAGTGGGAGTCTGCATCTGCTTGTCCTTTGACCTGCAGCTTCACTTGGTCATTCTCTAGAAGTGTCAGATCGATTTGCAATTCAGGGGCGTTGTCGCTGCATAATGTCGTTAGAACAGGCGAGATGGTGGAATCTACCGGAATTTCGAGCCCCAGTACGTCATCTTTGACCCAGCCGCCAGCAGTTACGACGCTTGACAGATGCAAAGGCTCAGTGCGCTGTCGCTGGAAGGCGGGGCGTTGCCCCCTCGCTTCGATCGCTTGGAGACGCTCCGTGGCGGCGAGGTCAACTGCCTCTTCGACGGAGTTGACTTACGTCGAGGCATCCTTTTATTGAATGATGGTATCAGATTTTTAGATTTTTTTTAGAGTGATCGGATTTATTTCTATCCTATAGCACCTGCCTGTATAATGCACAATCGAGAAACTATTATACTGGGTTGAGGGCTGTCCATACTGGTATGGACAGCCCTCAACGGATTAATTCAACGGTACTGCGTAACTCGCTCGATGTTATCTCGCTCAACATTCAGCCGACAGAATGTAAACTGAACGTTGAGCAAAAGTAGCATGTTTAAACATATATTGGCGTCCGTATCTGATAGTTAAGGGCTCTCGGTCTTTGGTCTCGAACTCTCGCGAGATTACTAGCAACGCATTTCGCTTTGTGATCGTGTCGTACTCTAAGCTGTTGGACTCGCGAGGACCAAACATCAGCCGTGCATTCGGCAAGGGTGTTTTGTGAGCTAAACTAGAAGTGTGCACTCTGTCGCTTCTACAGGTTCGTTTATACAATTGGTAACGTTATCGAATTAAAACAGTATAAAATAGCCCAGAAGACAGCCTAAACACAGATTGCACGAAGTACCAAGGGAAAAGCTAACACAGAATTTTGCGGAATCCGTTCATCATTTCATTGTTTTTCCCTGTCGGTTTGACTGGTGGTCACATTGGATTTTGTGTTTATGCTATCGACAAGTTGAATGAAATCTATGGCACTTGCGATAAAAGCGGCTCTACATATCCGGTGACTGAAGATTGGATTCGCATCGTGGAGCACGCTTCACTGCATCAAGACAACGATAACATTCTTTTGAATACGCGTGCAGTTAAAATGGTGACTGAACTCTCCCGAGGTGAATTTGCCGTGTTGAAACTTGTCCTTTATGGAGAGAGCGTCAACTCAATGGCAATGAATTGAAAATTGCATTCAAGTTGGAAATCTTGTCACCGCAGCTGCATTCTATGGGAATGAATGTATTTTGTTTTCGTCGGCGGTCATATGGCGTTGTGTTGCCAAAATGTGCATCGGACGTATTGAGCACGCACAGTACCCTCCAGCAACGCTGAAAGATGTCATCGTGCAAGTGATCAAATCGATGAACTTTGACAGTATTCGTGCCACGCTTGGTGGTCACCGGTATCTCATTGGTAAAACCTTGGCAAATGTCAGGGACCACCGGTATCTCACTGGAGAGAGCTTAGCAAATAGAGTTTTACCAAGCTTCTTACCGCTGCACACCGACCAACACTTTCGTAGCTTCGGCTGACATCGGTGCCGTCTTTGCGTCACCCAGCTTCGTCGACTTTATTATTCGCTGCGGCGATAGCTTCTGGGGCGTTGAATTGCTGCGAGAACTCGATAGACTGGATGAACATATTTGTCATTTCACGAGTACTGGCGTGTATGCGATGCTTGAGCTGACTGAGAGCTGTTTGGTCGATTTTCAAAAGGATGCACCAGGTTCCCGTTCACTAATTTGTTCTGACTTGAGCGAGCACCGTGATCTTTATATCGTGTGCTTCAACGAAGAGATGACACATGCGCAATTGCTGTCGATTTGGGGTGTCCGCGTATCACCTGTCGTTCGATCCGGCACTCGTCTGCAGTAGTCTTAACTAATTCCAGGCGAGTGGATGCATGTTCCTTTTAAAAAATTGTACTCGTAGCTACGGACTATGAGCAATGCAATCCTTTGTGGTTCCATTGGTCTTCTTTTTAATGTTTTACATGTTTTGTTACTGAAGACCATCAAACAAATCCTCGCCGTTTGAGATTAAAGGCAGTTAGTTCTTCGTTGTACAATGGGGACACTCGCAAAAGGAAATCTCAAACGGATACTAGCTTGAGCACTCGCTACGTACGAAATTCAATTTTGTCGGAAAGCAAGAAGCTCTTCATACCTACCTGCAACGATTTATAATCCTTGAATCAAATTCAACTCGCTGAGGTGTCAATCTACGGCGGAAAAACACACAACCACCGACCATAATGGCATTAAATAGCCGCAAACATGCCAAACAGAAATCAACAGCTGCAATTCAAAGATAATGTGTATGGGTTGTGGTGTGGTGTCAGAGCATTATGAAAACTTCCAGGTGTCGCGATCCTTCAAAACCTGCGGGGTTTGTGAGTACTTACCCTAGGCAGTAAGGTTTGAAATTCAGTTATGCTGGAATGCAGCAGTGCACCGAAATTGCTTTAAAGATGTTACTAGGGACTGCGCCGCTCTTTTATTCGCGTTTCACAGTTCTGACTGGTAGCCACATCGGACTATGTGTGACAGCTGCCGGCAAAGTTGAATGATCTACGACACTTGTGTTAAAGGAGCTCTGCGTATCTGTCTGGATTCGTATTATTGAAGCATCGTTGTCAAATGCAGGTAGGGGCTTGTAATGCTCCAGACTTTGGTGCCAGAAGTTTGAGAAATTGATTTCGACAAAGCCTTGAAATTCTTGTTTAATCAGCTCTCTCAGTTCATGAGAACACCTGAGGTGGTCTTACATGTATTTGCATTACAGTAATTAATGTCACGGATGCATCGCGGTTATAACAGCACCTGCAGCGACGATTCAATTGTGTTCATCTGTTGCTCCAAGGAAGCAATTTGAGTTGTAGTCTCTGTCCATCTTGATGTCATCCAATTCTCTACCTCGCGCGAATAGAAGGAAGATAACCCATTGTTTTGGAGTATGTGAGAAGCGCTGGCGGACTGCATTGGTTTGCGTTTGCGGCACCTTTTGAAGTGATGCGCAGCCTTTAGCATTTCGCGAACTACCGTTTCTTGGCTCCTCCGCTTTGTACTGTGGCACTTAGAGTTTACAATTTGGTGCTGCAGCCATGCTGCTTGAATAAGTTTTGCAGCACATAAGCGCAAAGCAGACTCCCATTTCATCTTGTCTAACGCTGAAAGAACCGCATGCTCTCGTTTGGTGCCCTTTACAGAGTCAAGAAACTCCGACGTCATGAGAGATATGAAGGCCAAGCCACCAACAACTGCCCCGAGTACAACGGCAACACGGCCACCCAGAGTAATCGGATACGCATCACCATATCCTACCCCCGTCATCGTGACGAGAGTGAGCCAAAGCGCGTGGTCTTCTCCGTCCAATTTGGATGGAAATGGCCGCTCAAACGCAGAGACCGCAACGGTTGTGGTCGCCCACAGCGACACGAAAAGAGTGAGAAGCACCTTGGACGGCTGCAAAGCGAATGATATTCGAAAACTCCACCACAGCGAATCTGCTGGTGCTTCTTTTCCGTTAAGTGTTATAGAGCCCACCGTCGTTGTGTTACCTTTAATCAACTGCTTCAAAAGCTGGTTGCGGATTACACGAGCGAACCAGTAGAGACGCACCAGCACTATCATATTCATAACCTCCAGTGGATAAGAGTACTGAAGATCGCAGGACTGCTTGCTAGTCGTCATCGTTAGAGGACTTGGGCATGCTGGAACTACTGCTAGCGTCGCTCGTGGCAGCGAATAGCGCTCTTCGTCAAGGTAAACCCGCCCGTGCACCAAGGGGGGAAGGAAAATGCCACAAAGCAGTAATTCAGCAAGAAATGGTAAGAAAAGCAAGCGCGGAGACGTCAATAGCGAGTAGCGACTATCCGACGGAATTTGATTCCGCAATACCATGATCTCCATCTTTATGCAGTAGCGGTAATGTATCTGGTGAAGTAAAACCAAGGTGATTAGCAACAACAATGCTCCATATGTTTCTCCTGGAGCTTGTGTAGGCAGATCGCGATGGTGCTTTGCAGATGAGCGCCATATTGCGCGAAATTGTAGCCACACCGTAAGGGTAGATAGTCCTGCTAACCCGATACAAAAGCTGTCGGTGCGAGCACGTAACTTATACAACGTTTGCAAACGCTGTAAGTTGTTTACATCCCGTTTGGTCGTAGCCGAAACCGATGCGTTTAGCCTCGCCAGTGTCTTGACATGCCCTTCATGAGCATCAGAAAGCCCGAGAAAAACGGCAAAGCACATCTTGCTATGTTCTTGCTTTGAGAGCCACAATAGTGCTGCTGTAGCGAGTAGCAAAACAGCAAATGCCGGTGCTCGATCCCATTCAGACCACGGAAAGTATCGGCTAAGCGAACCAGTCTGCAACATTAGCTGGGTAGTCGCATCAAAGGTGCTTGAATTGTTGTGCGTGATGCTTAACGGAAGGACTCGAAATGACGTCAAATGCACATACTGTGCGTACATGCGCGGTGAATATGTGGCAATTTGTAGGAACTGGCAGATTTCGAGAGGTAACATCAGTGCTATCACAAGAAACCCTCCAAACCATTTGCTGGAAAAGGACAATCTGAGCCGAAAAGGGAAATGGAACGTGATCTGGTCCAAATGCAATCCCAGGATTCTAGTACCAACCGGTGAAGCAAAGCTCGGGAAATGCCAGTCTTGCACAATCCAGAGTAGATCCAAAGCCACGACGAGTGAGCTGAGTAGTGTGTTCCAAGCCGCATGGCTTAACCACGAATCCAAGTCATTCTTCTCGTTCTCCTTCTTCAGAGCCCACTGTATCCATTCGCTTTGCATTTTTGAAATCACGCCAAAGTAAATCCCACCGATAGCCAGTCCAAACACGGAAAGCCAACACCATAGAACACGTACGGCCAGATACTCGCAATACACTCGGCGTATAGAAGACAACCAATTTCCAAAAATAAGGCGATTGTACTTGCGATCTTGAAGAACCCAATCCAGTGTCACTAGTAGTTTCAAGAAGCCCAATGTGAGAAAAGTAGTTGATAGCACTTGTTGTAACTCGAGTTGGCTCCAGCTACTCCAAGCAACGTTCATATCCTCCGGAAAGAGCCACTCATCGAGTGCAGACCCATGGACAATTTTTCTGATAATATACATAACTGCTGCCCAGAGGAAAGGAAATGTTGCAACCACGAACGTCCAAGAGCCATAAGAAGACCCAGCGTTCCACACCGGAGCTCGAACCACTGGCGCACCAGGCGCATCACCAGCCACGAACGTGTGCAGCGTCATCACACCTCGGAAATTTGTGATTCCTCCTTCAGTAACACCAGGATTAATGTCAGTCGCAGAAGCCCTCGATAGCCTCGAGAACGCCTGCGTGGCGTGGCGGAAAGAGCTCCCCCAGTTCCATCGGTGCTGCACTAGACGTGGATATGCCACGAGTCGCAGAAAAAACATTAGCGCACCGCTCAAAGCAATCTGGAAAACAAGCTTCTGCCACCTTAAACCTGTAGTTACAGTCTTTGCTAAGTCGCCGTACACAGGGAAGCAAAAAGGGCTCTTCAGAGACGTCAGCAGCGGAGAGGTGACTCCCAAGTAGAAGCACATGATCAAGTGGATCACACAACCTAGCACGCGCAACGCCGGGTGTCGTAGCGACGTGACTACCCACGTGGACTTGAGATACACCTTGTTATTGCAGTCGGGATCGTCTCCGCTCCAGAAGTGAGGTTTGGACCCCGTCAACAGCGGCGACCCCATTGCTTGCTGTTGGATTCACAAGTTCGCCCCATCGAAAAAGTACTCAGTACAGTCCTTCCCGGAACTCACCTCCTCTATACGTTTATAACCCACAATATATTATCAAATTTTGTGAAATTAAGCCCCATTTTTTTTTCAGGAAGTCTTATTAATCCTGAATTCTGATATGATCCATCATAGCGAATAAGGGGGAACGACTGTAAGAATAGCTGTTTTGAGCTTTCTACCAATTAGCGAGCGCCTCAATAGATTTCAAATAGCTTCCCAATCGGATTGCAAGATATTGAAAATTACTCACATTTTTCTACGTTCACCAACTATTTTGGACAAGAAACTCCCACGCCGAAATTATATTCAAGAAATGAAGAGATTTTCTTTTAGAGAACTTCTGCGGCATGGAGCTACTCGTCATTTAACCCATCTTCTGAAATCGCAACAGTCGCCACTTCGCGCTTCTCCAGCTCATCGTAGCCCCTCTGGCCTCTGGAAAAAACCTTCCTCTGAAGCTCCATTCAGGTCACTCCAAAACTCACCATGCTCACCTGGACGTTACAGATCTTCACGCACGGTTATGATGGTGTCTGAAAAGGATAAGAAGCGGAAGCATGCCAGACGAAAACGAAGCAAGCATTGTTAAGGAGTTCGAGCCTTTGGAAAGGGTGTTGCTTCGTGAAATGAATTCGCTGAGCGCGTTTAACGTTATGGTCTTGTGTCGTGAAGGTTACCTGCGTTTGTATTGATCTGAATCATTTGCCATAGGTGGCTAATTCTACACGAAACACTCGAGCTTATCAATCCGGGATCGGAACAGGTCCCGCAAAGACGAAGCTGCGCTTAATAGTGTTAATTTTTATCGATGAAACCCAAGCAAACTCATGCGACCAAAACAAAACAAGTAATTTTGAAGGAATTCGTAGCAATTTGAACATGTGAGAGAGGAATTTCCATAATCCAGTACCCTAGTACTGGATTTACTAGCGAGTTCACTGCATGCAAACGCTCCGCACCCAACTCGCCGACACATAAACCCTGTTCGAATAACTCTTTGTTGGGTGAGCACAGATATTATCGGACTGAAAGAAAATATTCTCTGAAATTAATTTCAAAGTCTACCGCGGGGATCCGATTTTTCTCGCATCGTTCAAATATGATCCTATAATGGTACCCTCTTTACATGAATTGGCTTGCTATTCTTCAATGATGAGTTCGTAAAACTGATACCCTTAGAGTACCTCCAGCGGCAAGTCCTATCCGAAGTCTTAACGGTGTCGATTGAGACCTGGGATTTCGTACTTAGTAGTTTAAGCACTCCACACTAAAAATCGGCAAGTTTTATCACGAGTTTTATTAATCAATCCAATTAGAACGAGGAGTTGACGAATCTTCCAAAGAGCAAGAATGGATGCCTTACCTGCTAGGAACTCAAACTGTTGTTTGTGACGCTCGAAGAAGATTCCTTCCGCGGCAGAGATGACTTTCTCTTCGTTCCATCCCAAGCGCCCCTGGCTCTTCAATTTTGAGTAGATCCCCTCGAACTTTGTTACAGCAGGCTGGAGCTTCTTCCACTGGTCAGACACAGCCACCTCGGAGCGATTGTCAGTATCTTCGCTCTTGAGGTGAAGCCAGTGTTGATACAATCGCTCGTAGAACGTGGGTTTCTTCTGGCCAGTGCCACGTATAGGGTCTTGCGAAGTGTTCAGTCACGCCTTGCACAGTTGGGTGGTGTCGTCGCCGCTCCATTTACGTCCCTTCCCCATGATCGTTTAGAAGAACTTCTCCTCGATACGACTTTTACCGCGTGTGTTTGACACACAAGCCAAGTTCTATCAGAAGTTCTATTTTAAGATTTTTACCGAGACTTGGTGAAGTAAGTACCGCTGTTAAGAAATGCCATTTGGGAGCCATTAAAACTTGATAAGTCTCAAGTGCGCAACATTTGAGATAAAAACCCAAAAGGCAAAATAGGCAATAGCAGACTCTGGTTTTATTTCGACCTGGTCCTAAGGATCAGGTCAAAGTAAAAAAAAGAAGAGATCAAATATGCCCGTTTTTCAATTCATACTAAAACGTGGTCGGTTAAGTACGAGAGAACCGAGTCTGAACCGTGGGTTTCCGAACCGCGACAGAACGAAGAAGCCCAGCCACTCGTCGTTCTGCCAGCCCAAGCTCAGAGCCCAGGACCAAGAAGAGCTCAGAGCTCCACTGAAGACACAGCCAGGTTACCAGAAAAATTTTGATGTCTTCGATTGCGTCGAAGCCGTTCCCGCCCGCCAAGAACCCGCCGAAGAAGGTTTCCCAGGACCCCGCTCTGCGTGGCCGCACCGTGCGACTCGAAGTTCCCGATGAGCTTCCTGGCGACTGGGATGGACCGGTGTACACGACTCTGAGCCGCACGTCCAAGATGCTGGAACCCGGCGATTCCAGTCCGTTCGTCGCCGACGACGATGGACTGCGATGGCCTGCCTGGCAGGCCACTCTCGTCATCTTGCGCCATGGTCAACGCCGTGACGAACTCCCGACCGGACTCCAGGAGCATGTGGACGTCCAATACTGGATTCCTCACTGGCGGCTGACTTTTCCCCACGAAGACCTCACCGCTGAGCTCACGCAGCGTCCGCTCCTTTCGGTCTTTCGCTTCGTCCGCTTCACGGAGTACTTTGTTGCCGAGCCTCGCTGCGATACCAAGTTTGTGCGCCGGACGTCAGACGTCCTCCTGTATGGCCAAGTCCTCGCATATTCACCGACGTCGTCAGCATCGCTTGTAGACGACATTGACCTACTTTTGGAGCCTGGTTCCGGCTACGTGCGCAAGGTGGCGCTGCGCCGCTACGCCGATGAAGATCCCCAGATTGTAGCCATCCCGCTCGAGGCTGCACGTGCCCGGCACGTTTCTCGTTTGGAGTTCATGCTTGGATACTGCCAAGGCCTTCCGGCCTCGTTCATTCCACCAAGTTTTGCCCAGACCTGGTCCGGACTTTCTGTCGCTGGTATGTCGGACACAAGGGCGCTGCGCTCTCTTCTCATGACGGCGTTTGCCGAGCCTGGCTCCCCCACGCAGTCACGGGTGGATTTAGGTGACCGGGCCGTTGCGTACATCACGCCACGTGGCGAGAAGGCTGCCCTGTCGCCTACTCAGTTTGTCCAACATATTACAGCCGTAGCGAGCGGTGACGTTTCCACGCCGTCGCCTGAACCGGATCTCCCATTACTGGTCGACGACGACGTCGAGCTGACTCCTTCCGATTTGTTCGCCGACCCCATCAGGCTGGCTGCCCCGGGACCGGCGGCCTCCGTGGCGCTCGTTTCTTCCTCGGCTGCATCGCACGCGTCGGCTAGGCCACCTCGATCTACGCTTCCAATTCGGCAAACACCGGCGTCTAACGCCACCCTTCCCTCCGCATCCGTTCCGGCCAGGCCAAATGCCACTATTCCGGCCATGTGGCATGGGCAGGCGTCTGACGCCCCCCACCGCTACTGCTCCCGATGCTGTTGGTACGGACCCGATGACGCTCCTCGCGAACATCCTCGCGGAACAGCGCGCTTCCAACCAGGCGTTGACGCGGCAGATGGCTGACCTGACTGCGCTGGTGCACACACAACGCCCAGCATTGCCTCCATCTGCACCGGTCGAGGCTGGGCGACGTACTCCGCCTTCGCGTCCCGTTGGCAGCGGCCAGGGCCAGGCCCGTTGCGTTCTTCCAACCGACCCACAGGATGACGACTACCGCAGAGAGCCTGGCTCCCCGAGCCCACCGCGTTCACCGGGCGGTTACCTTATCGCTCACGGCCAAGCACCCATTCGCCACCGTCGACGGCCTCAGTCTCCCGCAGTCCGTCACCACGCGCCGCCCCGTAGCCGATCCCGTGCTCGCTCTCCGCCTCGTCGACATCGGAGTCACACTCCCCGTCGCCGTCGCCGTTGGTCTCATTCCCGGTCGAGCTCACGCTCACGCTCCCGTCACGAACTTTCCCGGTCTCGTCGTTCTACGTCGCGACGTCGCCGGTCCCGTTCACGTGGCCGCTCACCCCAGGGACTCCGACCCATCGGTCACGCTGCCTTCCGACCCACGGAGAATTAAGCCAGCGTCCACGACATTGCCCGCGTGGAACCACGCCCGGCGTGGCCTGCCACAGGTAATGACGACTTTGATCGTTTTCTCTCCATGTCTCTACAGGACAGGGTGTGCACCATGTTCCAGCGTGAACGTTTCCGCAACCGGATCACCAAGGTGACCACCAAGATGTTGTACTCTGTAGACTTCTTTTCACGGCCGCTGGACCACTTCCTGTCCTCTGAGGATCCACGAGCGCCACCTCAGGACCGCACGGTGGTGCACGACGACGGCCAATGGGGAGGCTCCGAGCCCCACCCCAACTTCCTGATCCGCCAGGCGGATCAGCTCCACCACGCGTTATACGTGATCCAGGAGGCGGCTTCCGAATGGTATCCAGCGGCCATTGCCGAGGTTTTCCGGACGGTTCATGGGAGCGCCATTCAGCACGTGCCGTACTAGTCCCCAACGCCGGTCGTCAACGCCTGGTGCAATCTTTACCAAGCTGTGTTCGGTAGGCTATTCACCGACGTGCTGTATGGCGTCGACGCCCGGGACCTGGTCCCTCGCGCGCGCCGGATTTTGAGTTCTGAATCTCGGGAGTACCAGCAGTTTGTTCATCGAGTTTTGAACGACGCGATGATCCGAACCGTTTTCGCCCCGCAGGCCCCTGGGCCACAAGTATCCGATATTCGACGGACCAGTGATCGACCTCGTGACCGCCAGGCGTCACGACCCCGGCCAGGCCGGAGTGGCCGTCAAGCTGACAGGACGGTCATCCCGCAGGACATTCGGAATCAGATTCCCGTGATCAACGGCACCCAAGTCTGCATCCGATACCAGGCGATGTCCGGATGCTCTTTTCCCCGTTGCCACCATGTCCACACACTTCAACGTCTTCCTCCACCCGTGCTTCGCTGGGTTACTGACCGACATGGTCCGCTTAAGGGCGGCCACCCTCAGCGCGCTTGATGCCATGCGGGTGGATGCGCCGCGCGTTCTGATCCTTTGAATAAAACGCTCATGGCCTTCGCCTCTCCACCCATATTTCATTCAGCGTCTGACGCTTCTCCGACTTCATCGGCATTCTACCCCTCAATGGGTGGCGTAACTTCATCCGCCGCGCGCCCAGTGGCGGTGCCAGCGCCTGGCGCCCAGCTTTCGGGTGGCACTGTGCCCCAATACGACGCGCTCCCCTGCCTAATTGCTTCGTTCGACGGTGGCCATCGTTCATGTTCAAGACGTTGCGCGTACGGCTGGTGTGTGTGGACAGCATCTCATCAGCTTCTTCACTGGGAGGCGCGAGCCTTCTCGATTCCGCAGTCCAACAACGCGATGGAGGCCCAGGGTCTTCTTTCCTGCCTCCGATGGCTTCGCGCTCGGTTTCCAACAACCACTTCGCATGTATTTGGTGACTCCAGTGTGGTTATCAATCAGGCCCTCGGTCGGCATTCATGCGGTTCGACCCGGCTTCAACCCTGGATTGCTGCCATTCGGTGCCTAGGTACGGGTCGACCCCTTTTGTATCTGCGGCACATTCGTCGCGGGTACAGCGTGGCGTCTGACGCTCTCTGCAATTGGATCATGGATACCACCGCTTCCGGCATGGACCGTACATTCAGTGGACACCGGTGGCCGTGCCCCCCATCGTACTCGCTGACTCTGAGCCCAGCCTCGATGACTGCGTTTTTACCCACGACCACTCCCAATCCCCACGACGGTCGGGCTCATGCCATCTACTTATGGGACCTCGTGCTCCAGGAGCTCTGTACGTTGGGCCATCTCATCCATTTCCGGTTCATGCCATCCGTGACCGCACGCCCGTGCCACCCAGAGGTGTTCCTACCCCGGTCCCCGGAGTGCATCACGACTGCTGCTCGCCTTCTTTCTTCCGACTTTGACTACAGGCCGTCGCGGACTGCCGTCATCGCCGGTCGAGAACGGTGCGTTCCCTCGGATGTGTTTCGTCGCCTCCAGGAGGCTGCCGACCGATTCCAGGTCGCATTTCCGGCCGATGACGTTTTTCTCACAGCTGGCCTTGGGCCCTTCACGCTTCCTGAAGCGGATGCTCGGGTCCTGGACGAGTTAATTGCTGCACCAGAACTGGGTATCCCTGGTGTACTCGAGTTGTTCCGAGGTCAGACCCCTCTTGACTATCGCCCTAACAAGGCACTACGCCCATGGCTGTATCGGGTCCATCTACCGACATACCCTCAACTCGAGTTGCTGTGCGCCATTGCACAGCACGGTCTGATTCCTCATTGGACAAAATCTGGAGAACGTCGTGGTGTCCGGCCGGTGCCGGACAATTACATCGGCGCTGTCACCGGCGCTTCTATCGTGACCGACAAACTACTGGTAGACTACTACAAAGGTCGGTGTATCATCGCGTCTATTACGACGTTGGTCCAGGACCCGTTCTTTCATTCCAGCGCCTTTGCGCTCGTCCTGAAGAAAGACAAGCCGATTCACTTGGATGGGCGCATTATCCACGACTTGTCCGCCCCAATGGGCCTATCGGTCAATAATTACACGGACTTCGCGCTGTCACCGGACGCCACGTGGGACCCATTCCTCGTGATCGCACTTCGGATTCGGGAACTTCGTCGCCGCTACCCTGGCTGTGCGATTTATGCCATGACCGCGGATATCGCCGACGCGTTCCACCATGTTCCTGATCATGCTCGTCACGCATCGGTCTTTGGGGGGGGGGGGGGGGGAACTACCGCGATCCTCACACGGAATCGCATCCGGCATGGCCGTCTTTGGGTGGACTGCATCGCCAGGTTTCTTCGCTGTTTTCGGACAGGCAGTACGTCATTACCAGCGGACAGGCACATCAGTGGTGTCGGGCTACGCCGAGACGTTCTGGATCTTTCAGTGGGTTGACGATATCGTGCTCATCGAGGTCGACATTGATAATCCCCTCCAGGAGGCAGCAAAACGTCTCAGAGACGGAGTGAAACTCGTCTTCTGCTCGGATGGCTGGCATGAGGGTAAGTTCACGACCTGGTCGCGCGAGTTCCACGCTGTGGGAATCGACTGGAGCATTCCCAGTGAAACGATATCAGTCCCTCAGAGGAAGATCGATAAGATGCGCAAGGTGGTCTCGGAGACCAAGAAGAAACGATTCGTGCCCATGAAACAACTGGACAGCGTGGTTGGAGTATTGAGACACGTTATCAGCTTTATCCCCACCACTAAGCCGTTCATACAACGCTTGGTAGCAGTTCAGACACGGTGTCGAAGTAGTAGATCCCCTGGGGTACCAATGTCAGACTTCCTTCAAAAGGACCTGTTGTGGCGGGAGGACCTGGTGTTCCAGAACGAGCTAAGCAGCATTCCAATGAGGCTGTTCGATCACAACCCGTCGGTCGACAACGCCTGGCTAATACGTGTGGAGCCCGTCAGCCTGACGATCCGCAGTATGGCTATGGGGGAACATCTCCGAATGCCACACGATCAGCATCATGACTTGGACACCACTGTGGCCAAGATACTCCAGCGGGTAGTGCAACGATGGGGACCAGTATTGACGAAGGAAGCCTGCTGGCGGCACATCGTGATCCACAGTGACCGCCGATGGATCACCAGAGTGATTGACAAGATGAACTGCAGGTCATCGGAAGGACAAAAGGAGTTGCGCCTGTGCGCCTTGGGTCAGGCCCCGTACCGACTATACTTTACGACGCACACCCTGGCTCGGGGCATGGGAGAGACACCCAGTTGTGACATACACGGGAAAACTAACTCATTTACCCACGAACTGGAAACGATCGCCGGAAGCGAATTGAAGCGAAAACACAACAGCTCAAGCAGGCGGCGGTCGCAGGGAGCACCCTCGGTCGCTACAGCAAGAAGTTTACCTTCTGGCAGTCGTTCTGCAACGACTTTGGATTTCCGGTGTGGATCGACGAACTGTCCAGGACAGAACAAGCCAGAATTGTCGGTTTATACGCCGGTCTGTGCGCTTCAGAAGGACACAACAAGTTCCAGACCTTCGACGGAAAAATGGCAGCAGTGGTATTCGCCCACAAAGCTATCAGGAACGCAAGGCTCAATTACCATGATCCGGAATTTGAGCTTATCACTCAAGGATACAAACGCTCAAACAGCCACGTGGACCGGAAGCAGCCAGTTACTGCACAGATGCTGCTCAAAATGCGGGAGACGCTAGGAACAACGGACGCCCATGACAAACTCCTCTGGTATTCTATCGTCCTAGCCTTCTTTTTCCTCGACAGAAGCTCAGAGCTCTGGGGGCCAGTAAGCGTTGACAGATCAACGGGGACCGAACGAGTGCACTGCCTCAAAGCCCACAACGTCTCTCTGAAGGACAGACACGGTCAGGCGGTGAGCCCAGAGGACTCGAGTGCTCACGTCGTGGAAGTGCGATTCGAATCGCACAAAGGAGACAAGGTTGGGCAAGGGGTCACCATTCGACACTACAAATCCGACGCCCCAGTACTATGCCCAGTAGCCGCAGCCCAGAGCTGCCTGCGGATCAGGTCAAGATGGATTGCAGAAGGCGTGGCACTCGGACCTTACATTACGTCGATCTCGCCGGGCGAGACAGTCAAGAAATCCCGAGTCAGCAAACTCATAAAAACAACGGCTGCGAATATGGGCTTCGCCCCAAAGGACTACTCAGCACACTCCCTCAGAATTGGAGGTGCTTGCGCCCTATTGGCGGCTGGGAAAAGTGACCTGGTCATCCGGTTAATGGGACGCTGGTCCAGCTGGTGTTTCACGGTTTACACTAGGCTCAAGCCAGCCATAATCCGTGACGCGGCAAGTAGCATGATCAAGGCCTCAACATGGGAGTTTCACGAATCAGGCTTCGCACAACTCGAGGGGGAAATCCAGAGAGGCTAACTCAAGTTAATCAAGTCTACATGCCCCAATTGCAGTGCTGGATCGAAGGAGGAAAGTGGTCGGTTAAGTACGAGAGAACCGAGTCTGAACCGTGGGTTTCCGAACCGCGACAGAACGAAGAAGCCCAGCCACTCGTCGTTCTGCCAGCCCAAGCTCAGAGCCCAGGACCAAGAAGAGCTCAGAGCTCCACTGAAGACACAGCCAGGCTACCAGAAATTTTTTTCTTGTCTTCCAAAAGACTTGATTAACGGTTTAAGTAGTAGTCCTCCAGTAGGATGGGGTTTTCCCCTTTGATAAGGTTTTGTCCCATGGGAGGACTTAGATAGGGAAATCCAGCGAGGCTAACTCAAGTTAATCAAGTCTACATGCCCCAATTGCAGTGCTGGATCGAAGGAGGAAATCGCGACGTACACGACCTCCGTTAAGATTTGCCGCTGGAGATGCTTTTATAGATTTTGAAAAACACTCCTCCCTAAACTAATTGGTCGGATTGTATACATTACTGTGCAAAAAGCGAGAGTTTATTGACAGTGTGCGATTAACAAGTACCATAATCATTTATACCTGCATTGCTTTTGAATCACTCACGTTGTAATGGGCCTGGCGCGAGCCCACTACTTCAGCTTACACGTGTGCGCACGTGTAAGAGGAAACGTAAAGTAGTTTTACTTAGATTAACTAAACTTCATCCAAAAAAATAGATTTACATAAATAAGTAAAGCAAAGCTGATCTACGATAAAAGGAGACTGTTTACTTATGCTTTTATGTCTTTGTTGGGTGTACTAAAAAGAAGTGATATTGTATATGAAAGGTATTTGCCAATGAGTGGTTGTCGGAGTCCTACTGCTGTAATTGGCAGAAAAATGTTGCTGTTCTACTAATAGAAAGTCTAAAAACATGCTGATCAGTCATCTGGTATAACAAAAATGTAACTATTGATGTATCACACCAATGCTGAAAAAGTCGTTTCAGACTTCTCAGTGCTAACCTGGCCAACACAGAAGTGGGTTCGTTATTTCCAGCTATGTAGACACAGAACCTTTTCAACCCCTATTGTCTTCACGAGGCAGCAGCTTCTACGATGGGTCTCGCACTATTTTTATGTTGGTAACCGTGAATGCATGAGCTGCGTATTTTGACCCAACTTGTTCAAGACTAGACTGCAACAGAACAAATAGAGTATTCACTTTGAAACATATTGATTGATTAACCTCAAATTCAGAGCGCCCCCTATCCCTTCCACAGCAAGAAATCGCTCTCAAACGTTGTGATGCCTGATCGGATCCCAACCGCTGATAAAGTACTCATCCAGATTGCCCAGCTTCATCATTTGATTGACCGATAGCTTCTGATTCGAAGCGTCGAGGTTACTTTTGATGTGCGATTCCCTCACCGACTTTGGCAATGCGATAAACCCCTTTGCAAGGCTCCACGCAATCATTACCTGCGCCTGAGTGGCGTTGAGCTCCTTTGCGATCTCCATGATCACAGGATCATCCATCTTTTTCCCCTGTGCCAGTGGCGAATAGGCCTCCAGAATGATACCCTGATCCTCACAGAATTTGACAGTGTCACGACGAGCCAACCACGGGTGAAGCTCCACTTGATTCACCGCCGGCTTGACGCGCCAGGTCTTTGCCAGCTTAAGCAAATGGCCCTTGCCAAAGCTGGAGACACCAATATCACGCACTAGTCCTTCGGTCCGCATATCCTCGAGAGCTCTCCAGGCTTCTGCTCGTGTTGACCCTTCACATGGAGCATGGAGAAGATAGAGATCAATGTACCCAAGGCCGAGCTCCCTGTTGCTCTCACGAACACTATTGACGACACGATGATAGCTCCACCCGTGCATTTCAAAATACTTGCTGGTGACAAAAATCTCTTTCCGAGAGATGCCTGAGTCACGGATCGCTCTTCCCACGTCCCCTTCGTTTCCGTAGAAAGTAGCAGTATCAATGTGACGGTAACCGAGCTTGAGCGCCGTTAGTACTGCATTGTAAGCTTCCGCATCAGGACTGCTCTGGAACATACCAAGTGCCAAGCTGGGAATTGAGTGTCCGCTCGGCAGAAGCTTAGACTGCACGAATACACTCATACTTGGGTGGGTAGTTGGAGTAGTCCAGGAACGTTTGCTATATCGTGCACTTTGTCAAATGACATCCGGATTTATAACAGCGTTGGCGTAAGCTCCAACTACAGATGAACATGTCTATGATGAGCCCGTATATAGTGATTTTGTGTCGTACTTGATACGCCCGTAAACGGGTTCTCCGAATCGCTGTAACACCTATCCCTGTTAACAAGGGTGGCCCATATTCATCTATAGCAGGCCCATAATCATAATGATTATGAGCCAACTGCATAGGACTACCGGTAGAGAAGTATTCTATCTGTTTTGATAGCGTCGGGAATCTATTTTTATCATTATAAAGAGGAATGAGAATTAGAGATTGTACCCATTACATGGTACTCACGACACTGATAGTGCTTGGATGACTTGAACGATCATCAAAACGTGGTAGAGTTGAACATGAACCTCATGAAGTGGAATTAGAAATGCTTGATACTTCTTGCTACTGCATCGGCTCATAGGGGGTTCAATGCCGCTGTGTTAGAGAACGTTGAAGAGAATTTCTACCTCCAAATTCTACAAGCAAATTATGGTCTCTAGATGCTGGAATTATTGCGGTTTTTCAGAAGCACTACCGGCGTTTCCGGATTCAGCATGGACTGATAAGCTCGAGGTAGATCCGGTGGCCGCGTCTGCTAAGGTGTATAACGTCTTTGTGTGTTGATTGATTGGTGGGCTGGTTGCTGCAAAAAAAAAAAAAACTTGGTTGTGTAGGAAGACGGCATGATATAGTGGTAGCAAACTTAGAAGTACTACATGTACAAAATGTATATTATAAGCGCGGCAGGCTTTGAGTTGAAGATAGTTCTGTGGAGCAATGCTCAAACTGCTCCGCGATCACTTTTTTCTACACTGAATTCAAAAATACCTGTGAAATACTGCTGCACTCGACGACGTGCAGAGTAGACGCTACAATCAGGTTTTCGAATGCCGCTAAGAACGGTAGTGTGATCGGAGTGATCAGACAATGTGCGCCCTGCTAGATCAGTTCAAAGGTAACTAAGGGCTTCTTTAGAATAGTGGGGTGCCAACCACAGCGGCTGAAACAGCAAGACTGCTGCTGATGTTATACTTTAATTTAAAGAGGAAAGATTGGTAATAGTTAATTCGTGAAAATCCAAGATACTTCTCCGTGTTCAACCGCACGAATTCTGTTGCTGTGAAAATCTGGATTGATAGATTGACGCGATATTGTCGCGCGTGGCCACTGTCATTACTGTACTATATGGTATAGTCTGTATCCAAGTGTTCTGTGATGGGTAATTGCGTCTAGCTTTTTATTTTCATCACGGGTTAAATAAAAAAAGGTGGAAAAAATACGTTCGTGTAATTGAAATACTGTATGTATACCAGTAATACGGTACATTTACTGACTTGCTATTTCTATGCTACAGTTGCAAAAGTCGCCCGTTCATGCAACGGTGCTTGCAACAAAGGTTGTAAACGGCACCCCAATTTTATGCGTAGTACCAGCCTCAAATCCGGTCAATACGGACCATCTAGCCAATCAAAACTCGCAATTCCCTGAAATACAACTTCGGTTGCAAATGGTCGAAAATATACATGTACTTCAGCATCTCTCAAACATCACCCGTTATTTAACGTTATTTTGGTTACTTGGGACAAGGTTGGCGACATCAGACTGGACAAAAAAAGGCATGGAAGAGTTCATATATTAACCTAGTTTTCCACTTGAGGTGGGTCGTTTGAAAGACGATGAATTCACGTGATTCTCGGTCAGTGCTCAAGTTCATTGCGCAGCAGACAGTACGGAGTAGCAGTAGACATAAGAGTCGAAGTAGCAATGTCTCTGTGAATGCAGTTTGAAATTCTATACGAGCTCTTTCAGTTCAAAAGGGCCGAGAGAAAAAAAAAATACCCCTCGAGGACCCGCCTGCAGATAATTTATACATCTGCACCGATTCGCCACTGGCGCTGGCGAACTGGTTGTGGGGTTACGAGAGAGATGGGTTGTTGACAATGGCTACGGTTTACGCGGCCGAGTTTATGGTAACAAGAAGGTGATAAAACTGATTATCATTCTCTAGTCACCATAAACTCGTCCGCGTAAACAGTAGTCATCGCAATCGCGGATGGGGTAACCTCAATTATTGCACTATTTCGATCCCACTCCTTCCAACTAGTATAAGTAAATAGAGAAAGTCTTATTGCTATTTAAATAAACTATAAATAAACTCTGCACGTTTATGGGGTAAAAAGAATTCTGACAAAAATCGATTTAAAAAATAATTTGTGAATTCATTTCTTTAAATGAATCCACACATTAATTCTAAGAAAATAGGTTGGGGTGCCATCAGCCAAAAACTTTTAATATCATATTAATTTCTTGCCTTTGGCAGTGCGTTGTAATGAGGTTGTAAAATCCAATACCAACGATGCAAGGTGCATTATAAGTATTCGGTCTATATATATATTTTTCTATATATATATTTATGGATGCCAAAGGCCTGGAAACGATTCAAACAATATTACAAATAGTAGTTGCTCGATTCAATGTGACTCCGAAACCACAAATACATGTTTGGTGGCGGTATCGAAGAACTGCATATTCGATTTACTAAGTTTTTTTTTTAATTTTTTTAAAGAATAGCTCGTGTGTTGCACATGCCTATTAGACACATGGGGTGAAGAGACTACCTGGAGGCCACAAACAAACTGTATTGTAGTGAACCCTTGGTTAAGTGGTTGTCTGCCTGTGGGGATTCCTGCCACTACAACAACAAAACAATAAAGCCATTCCGAAACCATATTCCTCACATTTGACTTATGCGTACATCAATTATTTAGTAAATGGCCGATTACTTACCGATTCAGGAATTCAACGCACTGGTATTCACACACCTATTTAATCAATATCCTGGTTGTGCAGAGTACAGGTGGATACGGTGATGAGGCATTCGAAATCGCAGTTATAAACGGCTATCCCAACGGACAGTTCGCAGGATAAGGGTTGAGAAATGCGTTTTTCTCCATACCCTTTGCACAGAAACGCCACAGAAACGTTGACTTGTTAAACTGTTGGCTTTCGTGAAAAAAAAAATAGTTTGGACCAGGCGAGTTCTAAGATACGGCGGATTTACCGGTGTCTGATCCCACCCAACTGTAACCGTATCTAATGATAGTATCGGCTGGCAGTGCTGACTTACTACTGGTGACTGCCTGATATTTGCCCGATGATCTGAATATCGACTCAAGTCCATGATTTGGTTGATATTCAGCGTTCGGACGTCCTCATCAGTCTTCCTTTTGTCTTCCGTTTGACACTCGTCTACATACCCATGATCAAGTTGTTCATTCTCGCTGTCACTGTTGCTCTTACTACTCTTTGTAGTTCTAGTATCATCACTGAAGACAACTGCGTGCTGATAGACTTTACTGCTGAAGAGGCGGAATTTGAAGATTTAAATGCTGGGATCAAGACTGCCAAGTTTGATAAACTACTTGGCTCGATGCTTGGAAAGTACGACCCCTTCAACCGGAGCAACATCCCGCTCCGATTCAATTTTAACCGTTTTTTGACGATCTCGACCGCTATCGACACGATCAGTATATCTGGTGCAACGGGCTTTGTCCCGCAACATATCAACGTGACCTCGCCGAATTCTGTTTCGATTGAAACTGTCTCGTATGGTGAGATTGTTGTCGACGTAAATTTGAATGCCAAGGTTGAGGCGATGGGACTGCCTGCACAAGCTCAGTTGAGGTTTGTGCTGGAACAACCTACGGTTATCGTCGAAGTAGAAGCGAATATGTACGCATGTGAGCCGGGTGCCCCTGCGTCAGTGTGTACCAACTTGACAGTTGCGGATCTTCAGAATCACTTGGAAAATGCGACCACGAAAGAACCCTTTGCGAACACCATAAAGAAGGTGTTGAAGAGGATCAAGGACGCATCTGTGAAATCTTTCTCCCTCAGCTACCAGTCGATGTCGAATTTCAAGTTAAGCTTCGACAGCTCAAGTTTTGTATTCCGCACTCTCCTGCATCTCATTCCCGACTACGAAGCCGATGATTTTAATACGGAAGGCATCATCAAGACGGGCTACTTGAAGATAATGAGTCGTCATGCTCCCAAACTGCTGAACTACTTCATTAAAGACATGCTGGAACCCTCGTTCGGTGCGACATGCCTGACAGAAGAATAGCTCTGGACCTGCCACACTTTAGTGCGGTAAACTGAAGCCGAGTGAAAAAAAAATACATTCATAATTGTCCTTAAATTGTCCACAACTTACGGTGCTGGATTGTGATGCTATAATGAAGGTCGCTAGACCAATTCGATTCATAGTCCGTTCGATTTCCAATACAACGTTCTACTTGAGACAACCTTCGAGTTTGTATGCAAATGTTGGAAACACGTTAAAATTGTAAATGTATAATCACAACCTGAGCGTGGATTTTGCACGAGCGGCAGCCTCCCCCTCTCAATTAAAAGTCATATCAACAATTGGGAATTGAAAATTGGAGAACACTAAAAATAAACAAACAAATAAAATGCGCCGCTGATCATAGCTTATTTTAGAGACACGCTGACCTTACTATTGTTACGACATAAGTCATTGGATCAATTGTTTTTAGCAGCTCCATTCCACACGAATATGCAGTACAATTTTAAATGCTCTATCTTGGGAACGCAGTGTCCGATTCTGGAGCCGAGAGCAGCATACGAAAGATCATGATGCGGACATCTTGCTAAGCCTTTTAGAGGGCAGCAGCTCCTGTTCCTGCATAGTCGCTCATCTGGAGTGCTTGCACTTCCTCCGTAATTGATGTTCTATTATATAACAGTCACAAAAAGTTAATCTTAGCGTATGGCGCACCGTTTCATGCAAATTCGAGTTAAATACGGGTTCGTAATAATTATCTTGAATAATATGTAGTGTAGAATGGAGATGCTAGTGTTTAGCACTTCAACTGTTTTATTCCAGTAAAGCTCGATTAGTGTGGCAAATCACCAGGTCAAAGTTGAGACAAGTACGATCCGACAAAAATATAAAGCTTCAAGTCAGGACTTTCACCGAAATTGACTACCAAGTCGGCGTCTCCTTAATAAGCCTGCCTATTTCCACCCTCGCCATACGATCAGCCTGCATCCTCTTCCCTCTACCCACTTGAACATTTGTAGCTATTTAGATGACATATGAACCAGTGTCTGTAGTGTGCAGCGGAGTTCAAATGGCTGTCATACCAGGCTATTCGAAATGCATGCTTAATTAAAATATTAATGTCTGATTGAAAAAATAGGATATTATTTTGAATAACTGAGTGTTACAGCTGCGAATCATTTGCACTCAAACTGACACAGTTCGATCCGAAAAAAGCGCGGCTTCGACTAATTATGCGTTTTTATTGCGAAATCGTAATTGTTCGCTTGCGACTATGGCCTATTGGTCACTGGATAGAGAAAAAAGTAAGATGAACGTGTTCACTTTGATCTGCTGAGTTCCAAAAAAGGTGAGAAAGCTGGTTAAGTTGCATTTTGATTCGCACAGCTGCGCACATTAAATCACTGATAATGTAATTTCATTGTCCAAAACGTACCATTTTGGAAAGTTGACCAATGAGAGGCTGAGGTGTGGACCGCATCGAATACATTTTGACCATCTATTGTATATTCGTATGGAATTGAGAAGTTCCCGTTTTATCAAACATAGCACGAGCCTTTTCTTTAGAGTTATTCGCATGCACTTAGTTATGGTAACGGGGTTATAGCAACCCGTTATCTAGCATACACTGTAGCAGGAAGGAAGAGAATAAAACTCTGAGATTGAAGTTAACGGCGTGGCCTCGATACGTTAGACCACGCCAGCCAGTCGTTGGGTCTACTTGCTGATTGGTCACTGCGGAGAATGCAGTGGCGATGATGCGTGACAATACCCCGTCACAGTTATTCGACACACCAAGAAGGCTAATCAGTCAATGGATGCACGCGAGCTATTAACATCCGTTCAAAAGAGGCTCCCAATTTAATGAACTTTAAGGAGGCTAGATGTGATGCATTTGGCATCCACCGACTCCCAATAGTAGAATTGATGCCTTCATGTTGAGGTATAGCGCTGCTTTTGATTGGATGATCAGCTCGACTGTATGGCATATAAGGAAAGTACATTATCGTATCATTGGGAATTGCAACAGATTATTGAAAAATGGGACAAGTCAGTATAGGTTTATGAAGGCATCTTATTTTCTAGCAATATCAGTTTGACTTCTTAATTCCTCTCAGGCACTCTCTACATATTTGTTTTCGTAGCCTTGAACGTGTCTGTAGATGGCGAACCAATTCTGGCTTGTAATTACCCCGATTTATTTTAGAATCTTCTACCGCATTATTTCCGTTTTTTTTATTGGAATCTTAAGTATGGAGTTCTCAGTGACAGGGTCGCCAGTACAGCAAATAGTACCCATGTTGAAACCCTATCAACTGCGATTTATACTTAGTTTTTACTCGAGTGGAGTAATTCTAACATCAGCCCCGATTTTGTTTCTTTCTTCCTAAAATTTACACCTGCAATAGAAAATTAATTTAGAATATAAGTCCAAACAGATATGATTTTTGTTTTACCTCGTTCCGTTAGGCAGTTGTGCATTTCCGCTCTGTTGGAGTTCATAGTTCGGTTCATTTTTGTTATACTCTTGTGATATCATGATATCATGCCATGGACCGTGTTGTTCATTAATAGGGTACAAAGGTAATTAAATTTACCTCTCAAACTTTGTTATATTAAAGCCCCCATCATAATCATCTTCTTCTGCAACGTCGGCTTTTCTTTTAACCCTTTCGCGAGGAGCAACTATAGACTCTTCGAAACTATACTATACAACGATAAGTCAAATCAATGTAAAAAGGCGATTCTTTCGCCCTTTAAGCTGTCGATAGAGACGGGGGGATAAACACATCACACAAGATGCAGTTGGAATTGATACTCCACGACGTACAAGGGCGATTTCTTCGCCCTTTTAGGTTTTAATTTGATTGGCTAATATACGATCATTAGGAACGATTGCGACTTCAACTACCGTGATTGATCAAAACAGATTGGTACAACGTACCTTCATGGTAATATATAGTAATATAGCTTCGAAAATACGAAGATATTCGCCCTGGCGACCTGTTTCTGCGTCAGCGTTGATCAGTTGATGATGCTCACCGTATCGGTTTGGCGGTCCCAGCATCAATGAGCGCCAAAAACAAAAGATTTACGACCTAATTCAGCCTACAGACGACCACGATCAGACGGAGCTATCTATAACTGCTACGTGATGCTCAAGATGCATCTTTAGGCATATCTAGCTGGAAGCAAGGCAGACCCTCGACGCTGTTTTTTTTTTGTGAAGTCCCGTGTACTTCAGTCAATGAGTACATGTATCTAACGCTACGTATAGACACGTGAAACTTTGTATGGTGCTTGTCCACTCAACGGGTGCATATCTCTTACGCTATGTATGAATAAGTGAATCTTAGTATGGTGCTTGTTGCACTCAACGGGTGCATATATCTTACACTATGTATGGATAAGTTAATCAGTGTATGGTACTTTGCCTTCCCATTCACATACCGTACCGTGAGCACTTTACAAATTGATATCCTGACTTTTTCACTGTTTCAAATTTAACGTGGCGATATAATATCTGTTTTTGTAATCCTTTATAATTTTGACGAGTAGACGACGCATGACATCCATCCAGCAAGTTTTTGTCATCATTTAGAAATTTGGTCGGAAATGGCGAAACGCACGCATGATGAGCCATCCGGCGCTAGGAAGCGCCGCCGGG